ATCTGTTGGGAGATAGTGTCATATAATAGCATCTTTCCCCAGACCACCAGGCACCCCGTTAGACCTAAAGTGGTCCTCTGTAGCTCAGCTGGTAGAGCACGGCGCTTGTAACGCCAGGGTAGTGGGTTCGATCCCCGGGACCACCCATACACAAAAATGTATGCACGCATGACTGTAAGTCGCTTTGGATAAAAGCGTCTGCTAAGTGGCATATTATATTATTATTTATATTATAAAGTCATGAAGTTGGTACATAGGTCCTTCTCCTCACAAGGTACACATTTGCCAAGGTACACATTTGCCAGAGGGTCCCATAAGGTCCGCCATGATGGATTTTCCGCCATTTAGAATTTTGTGAAAAACACTCAAAACGCTACTCTTCTGGCACCGAATGACCGATCTGCACAAAACTTGATATGTGGCAACTACCCTTATGGGGGAAAAAATGCAAACAGAGTGTACTGCAGTACACAGTAGTATAACTGTAGTTAGTGTGCAGTATAACTGCAGTATGCTGCAAATACTGCATCCAAAATAACATTTTATTTTCACTGCAGTCATTTTGCAGTGTAACTGCAGTTACAGTGCAGTATAACTGCAGTACACTCAGTGGCGACCCGTCATTCAGGGCAGAGCAAACAAGTTTGCAAACAATAAAATAAAAAATAAAAAATATTGACTTAATATAGCCGCATACAAACATGGTCTCTTTTTTGCTTTCTTGAGTAAGGCAGCTCCAAAATTCAGGTGTTTCGGCCTAGCTCAGTGCTTTCTGTGGAGGTGGGGCAGCCAGCGGAAAATACGGAGCGTAGTGGTTGGTAATGTTCTCTAGTTGCGCCGCGATTGGCTCAGTGTTCTGTCACTCATGGGGACACTACGTCACCGACAATTCAAGCCCCTTGGGTGCTGCCATAGAGTTACATTAGAAGTGCCCATCTAAGAAGGCTCAAGGTCATTGGACACAGATAAAATGACGTCAAATCACGTTATATCTACAGTAGCTTTGATTGGACTGATCAAGTTAACATCATACTAACAAAATCTTAGCAAGCAAGCTAGCAGTCATCATCATGAATTAAGTCGACAATCTACTGGCAAATCCTTTTCAATCCTTGTCATATGAAGAGAAATTATACATAAAACGTATCGGTGCTCATTGGCCATTGGACATAAACATTACACAACAAGTTGGAAATCACAAATTCAACAATGAGTGGTTTGGAAGGAATCAGTGGCTAACTGCAAGCATTGCAAAGCAATCACTAGCCTGCTACTCAGTGGAGTGGATATGTGGTCCAAGTCTGGGTTTAAGGGTCTCTTTTCCAAGCTTAAAAGTATAAACATTCAACATTGGCCATGCTGTCAATCCAGCATGACTTCTGCTGCGTTCAAAACAACTGGAAACACTGAACTGGTGTGGGGATCTAGATGTGATGACTAGCTTAGAAAGAATGCATTAATGATTAAACATAAAAGGTTTGTACTGTACTGATATAAATTGTTTCACATAACAAGCTGTGATTCATGTGAGGAACGTTAGGGGGTAGGATGAGATAAGAACTTGTATTTCTCACAGACACATACACACTGCCTCTTTGTTAAACCATCATACTCAAGGACATGTGTACTGCAAAAGTGCTGACTTTCTGGATAAGTTGCAAAACAACTAGACACCTGGCAACAGTGAAGCGCCAAGGGTCTGGGACCAGCCTGTGCGCCAACGATTGGCTGAGTAAGTCTAAACCACGCTCAGTCTCTACTCTGATTGGCCAGCAGGGAGCGGGAACTATCTCTGTCAGAGTATTTTAAGAAGAACTTATAACAATGGCTTAGTTCTCTGAGTGCCCTGCGTGGTATTTCAGTGGACCCGTATATACGAACATCATATTTACCATTGAAGTGGTTTGCATGAATTAAAATACTAGTCTATTTTAGAAGACGCGTATTGACCTCTTTTGTTCCTAATACCAGATTTGAATTGACGCAACTTAACACTGGGAAATCTCAGACTTCAGTGAGTTCAAGACAACTGGGACAAAATGAACTCCGACTGGGAAAATACGTTTTGAACGGTCATCCAACTCGGAATTCCAAGTCGGGAACTCAGGCCTCTTTCTAGAGCTCCGACTTGGTGGTGCACATGTAGCCTATAGCCTGTTTTAGAGAAATGTCATCATCAAATATTGTAAGAGCTTCATTGTCTGCTTATATGCCCCCTTTATTTATCCTACGGTTCTGACTTGGTGTACAGGGAGAATACTGTAAGATCGGCCCATGTTCTGAATTCTGCCGTTGTACATTTCAAAAGTACTGAACATCTAGTAACATTGACTACGTCCGTCCTAGCTCGCTCATTAATGTCGTAATCGAAATTACGGATTGCCTCTTATGCCATAGTTTGTACATCTCAATTGTCAGTAGAAACCACATTTGTTTAAGCAAGTCAGCCATATCAGCTATGTTTTTTGAAAAGGTAGTAAATGAGGCTGAATGAACTGTTTCGCTGCCAGACAAGGCTAAAATTACTGCATCCAAAATCCCACAGTCGACTGCAGTTACTGCACTTTTACTGCAGTTTCAAAACTGCAATCTTTTTTTGTAAGGGTATGGAAAAGTTCTTTCAATGCAATATTTTCCAGACTGGTAACCAAAACATGGCCACTATTGGCCAATAAATATTCATGTGGGTGTGGTCTGGCAACTAAATGCATATAAATCAGTCAAGGATATTCATATTGTAACAAAACTTGGTACACATGTTGCAAACACTGTCAAGACTCAACATTTGCAAGAGCATTCATATCGACCTCACAGTGGCGCTATAACAGGCACATGTTGATATCTCTTGATCTGTTTGACTCAAGTGATGAAATTTGGCACACATGCTCAGGCATATGAATCTAGCTAACCCAAGTGATCTCTGACACCACTGGCCCCATTTTGACAAAACTTGGGTGAATGAGTATTGCCATAGAGATCTGTATATTACAAAATTACACTGATTGGCCCAAGGGGAGCACTGCATCATTCGTGGGGGACGACACGTTTACTTTTGCCTTGTTTAATCATCCTTTTCAAAGGATCATAATAACACCAACTGAAAATCACACACCAACTCAAAATCAAGAATTTTATAAGTTCCAAGTTTATTAACAAGTTCTTAGAAAACATACAAATGATGTCACAGCTTCAGGTCTTCAGGCACGGGTCAGTCGTGATAGACAGGTACACTGTCCAATGAGATAATTCCTTCTGGCCCTTCCCTTTAGTAGAGTTAGGGCAGATGAAAGGAAAAGTGAGTATTTCACATTCACTCAGAGATCACAGCATACAAATTCTAAGGAAATAAACTCAGAATTACGGGTTGTCTGCTTGTGTCCTGTGTTTAGAACTACAATAATTTCACCAGCATACTCACCGTTATATGATTATGGATCAGGTACAGTAGAAACCATTTCAAAACCACCATGTCATCCACTCTGCTGATGTCACAATGAGAGAAAACTGTCAGTTCTTCTTTTTGCAACAAATGTGTGTTCTCTTGAACATTTGTATCCCGCGATGTCACAATAAGAGAACATTTAATGTGTGTGACATTGTGAGGTCACAAGCGAGTATTATCATTTCATTTAATGTCAGAGAGCATTGACAGCTCATAAGGAGAGTGGGTGCCTCACAATCTAAAATGGCTTCCTCTCCTCACCTCCTTTCATAAATCTGCACGTCACATAGTAGCTATCCAAAGCGATACGGTATTGATTCTCCTATATTTTCTCATCAGTGTAGTTGAAGGAGAGGAAGCCACTTCAGACCATTGAGATTCTGTCTTAACCTATAGAGGTTGCATAAAAAAGTAACATAAGGGCTTTGGCCAAATTCTGGTTTCCATCCCATCACAAACACACACCCACGATGAAAGAGCAAGAGAACTAACAACAGTTAATAACACACTACTTGTAACCAATACAAGAGAAAACAAATAAGAATGTCTATATAGAAACAAGCTTTTTCTTTTGAAACTTAACAAGAGGTGTTGAAAACACTATTTACATGCCATAACAACAAGGCTTGGCACTTTTTTGCAGAGGAAAGGTACAAAAAATTGCTTGCTTTTTAAAAACAAACCAAAAACAATCTCCCAAACATGGTGTTTTTGCATCTTTTTGCTACCATGTCAGTTTGCAGATACTTCTGAGGCTATGGTGGCAGAGCTTAGAGTAACAGAACGACTGGTAAAAAGCAGAGAGAAAAGAAACAGAACCAGGAAGAGTGGATGTCTATGGTTTCCTTCTTTCTGCCTCCAAACCCTGGATGTCACAGAAAAGGGGTGGGGGGGGCAGAGTAGACCGTCGAGATGGCAAGGAGATTCCATGGCCACCATCTCTAGGCATCAGACTGTGATATTTGGCATATTCACACACCTAATGGCTGAGTCAGCCATCACTCATGAGATTCAGTGGGTCCTGACCAATAGGGGCTACAGAAGGAGGGTTCCTGCCCCCCCCCCGGCCAATGAAAGGTTGGGACAGTGCGTGTTGGGCCGAGTTGATTTTCAGGCTGCTGAAGTGTATTGCAGACGATTTCTGTGCTCTGTTCTGCTGACGTGTGTTATAATGAAGCCAACACAAAACGCAGGTCAGGCTCTGCTGATGTCATAGTCAGATAGAGAGCTTGCCATAGAGATCCTATTATTCCTAATTCTATGGAGCTGGCTGTGCGGATGTCACAATGCCACAGAACTCTTTCACTGTGATGTCACAAGAAGAGAACAAGTGTCCAGGTTAGGACACAGCTCCTCCCACAGGATTATGATGTAATAGTTTGATGATGAAACAGTGGCACAACAAACAGAACAATTTGATGCAGAGCGTTTGGAGGAGCAAAACTGGATCTCAAATGGCATCCTATCCCCCACATACTAGTGCACTACTTTTGACCAGTGCACTATATGGGGAATAGGGTGTGATTTGAGACTTGGCTAGAGCCTGCCGTGTCCTCTCCTATATGATCTTCAGAGTGCTGCCGTAGGTCTGCTGTACCACCACCTGCACGTTGTCCAGGATGAAGTCAAAGGCCATGCTCCATACAGACTCCACAGACTGCTGCATCAACCTGCAATCACATAGGATACGTGAAAATAAATGAATGGAACAGAGGACAAAACTGAAAAGTACTAACCTTGGCCCAGTGGTCCTTGACTGAGACTGAGAAGAGGGGAGAGTTAGACCATGAGTGGACCGTACCTCTTCATGTACTTGATGACCAGGTCAAGTTTCTCCAGGTCTTTGTCCTCGATCAGATCAGTGCAGTACTTGACCACCTGCAGAATGTCCTCCTCCATGGGTTCTGAGGGCGGGGGGAAAGGACAAAGACCTGGATTTTCACACACAACCACATCATTAACAAACAGTCAAAAACACAACTACTACTGTATGACAGCAAATGTCCCCTTATTCCCAGAGATGGTACTGACCGACCCACTCCCCCTTCTGTACCTGAGATGGTAGTGACCCATTCTCTGAGGAGTGTTCGGATGTCCGTGAAATCACAGGCTCCAGCCAGGGTGGGTTCGGGGCGAGGGGTGAACTTAGACAGAGTCTCTGGGACATCCTGCTTTAGGGAGGATGTGGAAGGTCCAATCTCCAGCTGGTTGGGGGTCAGTTCAGGGCCAATCATTAAGCCATTCAGAAAAACATTAACTGACCTTGGATAAGTGTCTAGAGGCTCACCTTGAGGCCGCTGGATAGGTCCCTCGGTCTGAGCGAGTGCTGTAGGGCTTTGGCGGGGCTGTTTCCTGGTGGGTGGGGCTTCTTTAGAGGGGAGGGGCCTTTCTTAGCGGGGCTGGAGTTGGCGTTCTTCTTCTTGTAGCGCCTCTTCACCCGACCCGCCCCCACCCCTACCTGCTTCAGCTGCAACAGGGGGTTCCTCTGCTCTGCTACAGAGATAGAGAGTGGTTGAGAGAGGAGGGGGGACAAAGGAGGTGAGGAAAGGAGTGAGAGTTAGAGATGGAGAGAGATAAGGGGGTAATGCAAAGAGAGTTGAATTCTATAATTTGTCGAACGTCTACGGTTCTTTCCAGTGTATTGGATGGATATACTGTTTTCTGCTCTACATCTTTGGTCTCTGGTCTTACCCATGATCCCCTGGGCCTGGGCGGTCTCTCTGCGGCCGTACGCTGAACGCAGTTCCTCCTGGAGCTCTCTGGGGAGCGCTGCAAACACCTCCGGGTCAACCTACAAACAGAGAGAGAGATGTAATATATACTACCAGTCAAAAGTTTGGACACACCTACTCATTCAAGGGTTTTTCTTTATTTTTACATTGTAGACTAATAGTGAAGACATCAAAACTATGAAATAACACATATGGAATTATGTAGTAACCCAAAAAGTGTTAAACAAATTAAAATATATTTTATATTTGAGATACTTCAAATAGCCACCCTTTGCCTTTTTTATTGTTTAATTTCACCTTTATTTAACCAGGTAGGCCAGTTGAGAACAAGTTCTCATTTACAACTACGACCTGGCCAAGATAAAGCAAAGCAGTGCGATAAAAACAACAAACACAGAGTTACATATGGAATAAACAAAACGTACAGTCAATAACACAATAGGAAATCTATATACAGTGTGTGCAAATGTAGTAAGTTATGGAGGTAAGGCAATAAATAGGCCATAGTGCAAAATAATTACAATTTAGTATTAACACTGGAGTGATAGATGTGCAGAAGAAGATGTGCAAATAGAGAGACTGGGGTGCAAATGAGCAAAATAAATAACAATATGGGGATGAGGTAGTTGGGCGGGCTAATTACAGATGGGCTGTGTACAGGTGCAGTGATCGGTAAGCTGCTCTGACAACTGATGCTTAAAGATAGTGAGGGAGATAAGTGTCTCCAGCTTCAGAGATTTTTGCAGTTCGTTCCAGTCATTTGCAGCAGAGAACTGGAAGGAATGGCGGCCAAAGGAGGTGTTGGCTTTGGGGATGACCAGTGAGATATACCTGCTGGAACGCATACTACGGGTGGGTGCTGCTATGGTGACTAATGAGCTAAGATAAGGCAGGGATTTGCCTAGAAGAGATGTATAGATGACCTGGAGCCAGTGGGTTTGGCGACAAATATGTAGTGAGGGCCAGCCAACGAGAGCGTACAGGTCACAATGGTGGGTAGTATATGGGGCTTTGGTGACAAAATGGATGGCACTGTGATAGACTACATCCAATTTGCTGAGTAGAGTGTTGGAAGCTATTTTGTAAATGACATCGCCGAAGTCAAGGATCGGTAGGATAGTAAGTTTAACGAGAGCATGTTTAGCAGCATGAGTAATGGAGGCTTTGTTGCGAAATAGGAAGCCGGTTCTAGATTTAACTTTGGATTGGAGATGCTTAATGTGAGTCTGGAAGGAGAGTTTACAGTCTAACCAGACACCTAGGTATTTGTAGTTGTCCACATATTCTAAGTCAGACCTGCCGAGAGTAGCGATTCTAGTCGGGTGGGCGGGTGCAAGCAGTTCACATATGGTGTCCAGGGCACAACTGGGGGCTGAGGGGGGTCTGTAGCAAGCTGCAACAGTGAGATACTTATCTCTGGAAAGGTGGATTTTTAGAAGTAGAAGCTCAAACTGTTTGGGCACAGACCTGGATAGTATGATAGAGCTCTGCAGACTATCTCTACAGTAGATTGCAACTCCGCCCCCTTTGGCAGTTCTATCTAGATGACAGCTTTGCACACTCTAATGAACTCTGCAGCAGAGGTAACTCTGGGTCTTCCATTCCTGTGGAGGTCCTCATGAAAGCCAGTTTCATCATAGCGCTTGATGGTTTTTGCAACTGCACTTAAAGAAACTTTAAAAGTTCTTGAAGTGTTCCGTATTGACTGACCTTCATGTCTTAAAGTAATGATGGACTGTCGTTTCTCTTTGCTTATTTGAGCTGTTCTTGCCATAATATGGACTTGATCTTTTACCAAATAGGGCCATCTTCTGTATACTACCTTGTCACAACACAACTGATTGGCTCAAACGCATTAAGAAGGAAAGAAATTCCACCAATTAAGAAGGAAAGAAATTCCACAAATTAACTTTTAAGAAGGCACACCTGTTAATTAAATGCATTCCAGGTGACTACCTCATGAAGCTGGTTGAGAGAATGCCAAGAGTGTGCAAAGCTGTCATCAAGGCAAAGGGTGGCTATTTGAAGAATCTCAAATATAAACAAATCAAAAATATATTTTAACACTTTTTTGGTTACTACATGATTCCATATGTGTTATTTCATAGTTTTGATGTCTTCACTATTATTCTACAATGTAGAAAATAGTAAAAAGAAAGAAAAACCCTAGAATGAATAGGTACTGGTACTGTATGTGTGTGTGTGTAATGGGGGTATTGGCATTAATGAGAATGTTTTTGTGTGTGTACCTGGGAAAAGTCAGGCAGTTCCAGTATGATGCCCGTGGAGCCGGTCTGTCCAGGCTGGTTGGGGATCTGAAGCACCAGTGTTCCTACAGGAAGGGCAGCGGGGGGAGGAGGAGAGGAGGGTAGAAGGGGAGACGAGGGGGAAGAAAGAGGGGAAGAGGGGTGAGGGCTAGAGGGGCGGTGGTGTGACCCGTTGTGGGATCCCTCTGCGTCTCTGTGGGTCCAGGAGCGCTCCACCTGTTTTCTCAATTCTGCAGGCAAGGCGTCCAACACTGACCGGTCCACCTGACACATGGACACACACAAGTAAGGGCGGCTTTCAAACTGCCGAAAATGATGCATCAAAAACATAGCCAACCCAATGGATTTTCAATGAGAGCAATGCACTGGTGAACTAGGAGTGGAGAACCTGTGAAGGAGAGGGGACCTCGATGCTGATGTTGAGGCGTGTCCGAACATGGTTAGGTGTGCGTGTAGGGGGCGGCGGCTCTTCTTTACTCGTCCCTGGGATTGGATCAGCAGGTGAAGGAGGGCGGAGAGTGGAGAAGGGGGGCGGGACTCTGGCAGAGGAATTATTTTCCTGATTGGTGGTTGAGTCAGCAACAGGAGCATTAGGTAGCGAATCTGAAGAGAGAGAGAGCAGAGGTTAATGTATGGCTCGAAGAATGACTCCTTTAGGTAATCACTAACAAGATCTCACACAAACACACACCTGTGTGGTTGTGTTGGGTGGGTGGCCGCTGCGCCAGAAGCATGTCTCTGATGGAGCGCGTTTTAGGGCCATGGGGGGCTGAGTGGGCCCCCTCAAGGAGCTGCACCTGAAGGCCCACCCCCCTCAGGTCCTGCACCTCCAGCCTCATTGCGTGGAACAGCTTGATGACCTCACTGGCTATCAGCTGACCACTGTCTGTCGGCTGGGCCAGGGTTACTGACCTGAGAGAGGAGGAAAGAGAGGACAGAGGGAGAGAGAAGAGGAAAGAAGGACAGAGAAATGGATAAGGAGAGAGGTGAGTGAATTATGTCCCCTCAGTGTGTCACTCTTGTCGATTGCTCTCTCACCTGGCCAGATTGTCACAGATGCCGTGACCACCATATTTGGATGGCTCCACCGGGGCCCCCACCTTACGCACCATGACCTTTAGGGTCAGCCTGCGACCCCTAAGCCCCACCCCCTGAAGACGCTTCTGTACCTCCATGGACAGGTTGGTCAGGAACGACTCCGCCTCGTCCACCTGGTGAGAGAGAATGGAGTGACAGAAAAGCCTCTCACCTTGAGCAGTGAAAGAAGAACATCGGTTCTACACAAGAAGATATTCCATTCTGACCGAGTATTCTGCCTCCTTGAATAAGCCTTGGTTCTGACCAGTATAAACCAGTTATGACCTGTGTGGAGTGGACCAGATCAAACAAGCTCTAACCAAATCTGGTCCTGACCTGTGTGAAGCGGATGTTGTAGTTCATCTCGGCCGAGACAGACTTCCTCTCCTTCTCGCTGCGGACGGGCCGGTCATCCAGACCTCGACAGAACCTGAAGAGGGTCTGCCCGGTGCGAGGGCCAAACTCCTTCTGCAGCCGCTGTAGAGACACCTGCTGCAGGTCCCCACATGACCTCACACCCAGAGACGCCAGCTTCCCGCCCATAGAACGGCCCACACCTGAGATTGTGGAGGGGTAGAGGGATGGGTAGAGATGATGAAATGCACCACCAGAAAGATGATCAGTTGCAGTGTGTCCACCAGGTGGTGCTGTAGTATCCTCACCTGGCAGGCTAGTGACCGTGTGGTCCCTGATGAAGTCGTCTACTTCCTCTGACCTCAGGAGGTACTGTCCGTCCGGCTTGGCCTTCCGGGTCGCCATCCTCGCCAGCAGGATGTTGGACCCTGGAGAGGTCAGAGGTGACAGGTCACAAGTGTGACTGAGTGGGAGGGAAAATATGCTAAACAATGGCAGTCAACTCCCCTTGCTCCCCTAGAAGTTCAGGGTCGTATTCAGTAGAGCACAAGCACACTGTAGCAAAACATTTTGAAGTGGAAAATAAAAAGGAGCATTTCTTATTGGACAAGGCCAGATAAGAGTCCCTCCCTGTTTCAGTCTGTTTTCTGCCATTTGGTGCATAAACACAACCTAGATAATGCCCCCTCCGTTTGCAAACGTTTCCTCCCCTGTTGTGCATACAGAATGTTACCCAGGGGTGGCAGAGGAAGGCGTGGCACCACTCACCCATGCCCACCGAGGCAGTGCACCCTGTCCTCTCCCTGACGTCTGTCCGGATGGCACTGGCCAGCTCTTCAGGTGTAACACCCAACTCAGCCAGCAGGGCGGAGCCATCCACCAACGCCTCGTCACAACTCAGAGCCTCGATGTTGTGAGTATAACTACAGAGGGGGGGTTTAATCAACTTGTTGTTTATCAGATGAGATTGTGCTACAATCCTAACAAGTAACAAAGGAATCAGAATAGTCATGGGGGTCATGACTAACAGCAGATGAAAGGGAGAGGGAGGTGAGCGAGAAAAAGAGAGAGATGGAGTATCTGTAAATCCCTACATCCGTACCTGGCGAGGGTCTCGTACATAGCCAGTGCCACTTCCTTGTAAGCCTGGAAGTCATAAGGGACAGACTGCAGGGAGGGACACAGCTGTTTGGCCTGGCCAAAAAACATCCCATTCCTCACACCTGCCTGCCTGACAGACAGAAAAAAAAGAGACTACAGATTACTATAGGGTAGAGCGTGTTTGAGTGTGTATGGAACCTGGCCTCGTTGGAATGCACCTCTGCCCCGTCAGGAATGCACATAGGACATTAGATAGGCTAAGAGCAAGTCAACTTCCAGATACCAAAGAATATATCCCTTTTCTCTGGAAGCAATGTTCATATACTATTTTAAGCTTAGTGCTTAGAATAGCCAATTATATTTCCACCAACCATTTCATTTGTTTGGCTTCTTTTTGAAGGCCTTAGGGTCAATTTGAGGATTAAACTAATGCATTCTGGGAAACGCAGTATTTCCACCATATTTAACCAAATTAAAATAATTAATTAAACATAAATTTAGAACATTCACATACAGGTTTTGTTTTCCTTGATCATTCATTTTAAGGGTATGTCCTGAAAATCAATTGTTTCAACACTATTGTACAGTGGGGAAAAAACGTTTTTAGTCAGCCACCAATTGTGCAAGTTCTCCCACTTAAAAAGATGAGAGAGGCCTGTAATTTCCATCATAGGTACACGTCAACTATGACAGACAAAATGAGAAGAAAAAAATTCCAGAAAATCACATTGTAGGATTTTTTATGAATTTATTTGCAAATTATGATGGAAAATAAGTATTTGGTCAATAACAAAAGTTTCTCAATACTTTGTTATATACCCTTTGTTGGCAATGACACAGGTCAAACGTTTTCTGTAAGTCTTCACAAGGATTTCACACACTGTTGCTGGTATTTTGGCCCATTCCTCCATGCAGATCTCCTCTAGAGCAACTCCCTCCAAAGATTTTCTATGGGGTTGAGATCTGGAGACTGGCTAGGCCACTCCAGGACCTTGAAATGCTTCTTACGAAGCCACTCCTTCGTTGCCCGGGCGGTGTGTTTGGGATCATTGTCATGCTGAAAGACCCAGCCACGTTTCATCTTCAATGCCCTTGCTGATGGAAGGAGGTTTTCACTCAAAATCTCACGATACATGGACCCCATTCATTCTTTCCTTTACACGGATCAGTCGTCCTGGTCCCTTTGCAGAAAAACAGCCCCAAAGCATGATGTTTCCACCCCCATGCTTCACAGTAGGTATGGTGTTCTTTGGATGCAACTCAGCATTCTTTGTCCTCCAAACACGACGAGTTGAGTTTTTACCAAAAAGTTATATTTTGGTTTAATCTGACATTCTCCCAATCCTCTTCTGGATCATCCAAATGCACTCTAACAAACTTCAGACGGGCCTGGACATGTACTGGCTTAAGCAGGGGGACACGTCTGGCACTGCAGGATTTGAGTCCCTGGCGGCGTAGTGTGTTACTGATGGTAGGCTTTGTTACTTTGGTCCCAGCTCTCTGCAGGTCATTCACTAGGTCCCCCCGTGTGGTTCTGGGATTTTTGCTCACCGTTCTTGTGATCATTTTGACCCCACGGGGTGAGATCTTGCGTGGAGCCCCAGATAGAGGGAGATTATCAGTGGTCTTGTATGTCTTCCATTTCCTAATAATTGCTCCCACAGTTGATTTCTTCAAACCAAGCTGCTTACCTATTGCAGATTCAGTCTTCCCAGCCTGGTGCAGGTCTACAATTTTGTTTCTGGTGTCCTTTGACAGCTCTTTGGTCTTGGCCATAGTGGAGTTTGGAGTGTGACTGTTTGAGGTTGTGGACAGGTATCTTTTATACTGATAGCAAGTTCAAACAGGTGCCATTAATACAGGTAACGAGTGGAGGACAGAGGAGCCTCTTAAAGAAGAAGTTACAGGTCTGTGAGAGCCAGAAATCTTGCTTGTTTGTAGGTGACCAAATACTTATTTTCCACCATAATTTGCAAATAAATTCATAAAAAATCCTACAATGTGATTTTCTGGATTTTTTCTCCTCAATTTGTCTGTCATAGTTGACGTGTACCTATGATGAAAATTACAGGCCTCTCTCATCTTTTTAAGTGGGAGAACTTGCACAATTGGTGGCTGACTAAATACTTTTTTCCCCCACTGTATATGCATGTATATAATGACATGCTTTATGTTTTATGTACATTTGTATTGACTACACTTAATAAAAGAAAAGAAGAGGCATTTGAATTTCACCGTATAAAATTATATTCAAGAAGGCATTCTCAATTCAATTCTGAATTGAGCCTAACCCTGGTGTGTGAGTGTGGAGAGACAGAGAGTTACCTGGCCTCGTAGCTACAGGAGGCAATCTCAGCCATAGAGAGGGAAGTTGTGTCCAGGTCCATGCCGTTGCCGTGGGAGACGTGACTCTCTGCCGCGGTCATTTCCTCCAGGTCCCCATCCTTCCTCTCTGAGACACCTGCATGTGAGTATTTCCTCTGGTAGTACTGCAGCTCCAGCTGGCAGTCAACACCAGCCCTCTGGGCCACTCTACCTGGACCACAGTTACTGGTCACAGCTACTGGTTTCCCTGGGGGCAGGAGAGGAGGTGGGCAGTTAGTGGGCACTGGGCAGTTTAGGACTAGATTTGTGGCATACAAATACATGAGAGTGTGTGTGTGTGTGTGGGACTGGCACAATTACCGTATAACCGACAGTTAGTCATAAATGTTTTAAGAAGAAAAAAAAAATCAGTTCTGATAAGATGGTCTCGGGTATGTGTAATTACAACTGATTTGCCCATAAGGAACCGTGCAGACCCAGTAGAGAAAGACAGAGAACATTATATCATTTATGTTGCTTATTTTTCACGAGTGGCACGTGTAACTTATTGTTGTTGTTGGCCAATCACAAGTCATCAAACCGCACTACAGTCATAGAGCCAAAGCGCCTCAGTGTATGGCAAAGCAAGTTAGGAGATTATCTAACCAACGGAAGATGAAAAAAATAAAATGACGGAATTAAAAGTTAAATGAGAAGGATATGCTACAGCGACCAAGAGCCAACAGGTAAGAGCCAACAGGTAACGTTAGGCTGATACTTAATAATCTGAACGGAGTAGTTGTTATTTGTAATTAGGACGGGGAGAAAAAGCATGTTGCCTCAATTAGCCTAGCTAGCTAGCTTTTTATTTTACCAGGTAAGTTGACTGAGAACACATTCTCATTTACAGCAACAACCTGGGGAATAGTTACAGGGGAGAGGAAGGGGGATGAATGAGCCAACTGGAAGCTGGGGATGATTAGGTGGCTACGATGGTATGAGGGCCAGATTGGGAATTTAGCCAGAACCCCGGGGTTAACACCCCTACTCTTACGATAAGTGTCACCCGTTAAGTGCCATCCAAAAGACGGCACCCTACACAGGGCAATGTCCCAAATCACTGCCCTGGGACATTGGGATATTTTTTTTGGGACCAGGGGAAAGAGTGCCTCCTACTGGCCCTCCAACACCACTTCCAGCAGCACCTGGTCTCCCATCCAGGGACCAACCAGGACTAACCCTGCTTAGCGTCAGAGGAAAGACAGCAGTGGGATGCAGGATGGTAATGTTAGCTAGTTAGCCATCAAGCTGCTTGCTAACTAGCTAGCTTCTCTACTCGGTTTGATGCAGTCAAGAAGACGGGTACTATGTATTCAAATGGGATGATAAATAACACATGGAAGCTAGAAGTTTGTCTAACTAGCGAGAGTTGGCGTGGTTGCTGCTGTCCCTCTCTCCCTCTGAACCCGGTGTCACTCACACACGGCACGGCCCCTCCTGTCTGTTGCTAGTTGCTCCATTCCGCTCTCCCTCGCTAAGCTCCGGATAATAAAGTAGCTTAGAAATTGGCTTTTCTGCTGCTTCCCTCACTTGGATTGGATCGGTCTGGATCCGACCACCATATAAACTGAGTATACAAAACATTAATAACTTTCCATGACATAGATTGACCAGGTGAGTCCAGGTGAAAGCTAAGATCCCTTATTGATGTCAGTTGTTAAATCCACTTCAAATCAGTGTAGATGAAGGGGAGAAGGCAGGTTAAAGAAGGATTTTTAAGCCTCGAGACAATTGAGACATGGATTGTGTATGTCTGCCATTTAGATGGTGAATGGGCAAGAAAAAAGATTCAAGTGCCTTTGAACGGGGTGTGGTAGAAGGTGCCAGGCTCACCGGTTTGAGTGTGTCATGAACTGCAACGCTGCTGGGTTTTTCACGCTCAACAGTTTCCCGTGTGTATCAAGAATGGTCCACCACCAAAAGGATATCCAGCCAACTTGACAACTGTGGGAAGCATGGGAGTCAACATGGGCCTGCATCCCTGTGGAACGCTTTCGACACCTTGTAGTCCATGCCCCGATGAATTGAGGCTGTTTTGAGGACAAAAGGGGTCGGTGCAACTCAATATTAGGTATACACAGTGCATTCGGAAAGTATTCAGACCCCTTCTCCACATTTTGTTACGTTACAGCCTTATTCTAAAATGTATTAAATAAATCAAATTCCCTCATCAATCTACACAAATCAAATTATATTGGTCACATACACATATTTAGCAGATGTTATTGCGGGTGTAGCGAAATGCTTGTGTTCCTAGCTCCAACAGTGCAGTAGTATCTAACAATTCACACAAATCTAAAAGTAAAAGAATGGAATTAAGAAATATATAAATATTAGGACGAGCAATGTCAGAGTGGCATTGACAAAAATACAGTATAATAGAATACAGTATATACATACAGTGAGGGAAAAAAGTATTTGATCCCCTGCTGATTTTGTACGTTTGCCCACTGACAAAGAAATGATCAGTCTATAATTTTAATGGTAGGTTTATTTGAACATTGAGAGACAGAATAACAACAAAAAAAATCCAGAAAAACGCATGTCAAAAATGTTATAAATTGATTTGCATTTTAATGAGGGAAATAAGTATTTGACCCCCTCTCAATCAGAAAGATTTCTGGCTCCCAGGTGTCTTTTATACAGGTAACGAGCTGAGATTAGGAGCACACTCTTAAAGGGAGTGCTCCTAATCTCAGTTTGTTACCTGTATAAAAGACACCTGTCCACAGAAGCAATCAATCAATCAGATTCCAAACTCTCCACCATGGCCAAGACCAAAGAGCTCTCCAAGGATGTCAGGGACAAGATTGTAGACCTACACAAGGCTATAATGGGCTACAAGACCATCGCCAAGCAGCTTGGTGAGAAGGTGACAACAGTTGGTGCGATTATTCGCAAATGGAAGAAACACAAAAGCACTGTCAATCTCCCTTGGCCTGGGGCTCCATGCAAGATCTCACCTCGTGGAGTTGCAGTGATCATGAGAACGGTAAGGAATCAGCCCAGAACTACACGGGAGGATCTTGTCAATGATCTCAAGGCAGCTGGGACCATAGTCACCAAGAAAACAATTGGTAACACACTACGCCGTGAAGGACTGAAATCCTGCAGCGCCCGCAAGGTCCCCCTGCTGAAGAAAGCACATTTACAGGCCCGTCTGAAGTTTGCCAATGAACATCTGAATGATTCAGAGGAGAACTGGGTGAAAGTGTTGTGGTCAGATGAGACCAAAATGGAGCTCTTTGGCATCAACTCAACTCGCCGTGTTTGGAGGAGGAGGAATGCTGCCTATGACCCCAAGAACACCATCCCCACCATCAAACATGGAGGTGGAAACATTATGCTTTGGGGGTGTTTTTCTGCTAAGGGGACAGTACAACTTCACCGCATCAAAGGGACGATGGACGGGGCCATGTACCATCAAATCTTGGGTGAGAACCTCCTTCCCTCAGCCAGGGCATTGAAAATGGGTCGTGGATGGGTATTCCAGCATGACAATGACCCAAAACACACGGCCAAGGCAACAAAGGAGTGGCTCAAGAAGAAGCACATTAAGGTCCTGGAGTGGCCTAGCCAGTCTCCAGACCTTAATCCCATAGAAAATCTGTGGAGGGAGCTGAAGGTTCGAGTTGCCAAACGTCAGGCTCGAAACCTTAATGACTTGGAGAAGATCTGCAAAGAGGAGTGGGACAAAATCCCTCCTGAGATGTGTGCAAACCTGGTGGCCAACTACAAGAAACGTCGGACCTCTGATTGCCAACAAGGGTTTTGACACCAAGTACTAAATCATGTTTTGCAGAGGGGTCAAATACTTATTTCCTTCATTAAAATGCAAATCAATTTATAACATTTTTGACATGCGTTTTTCTGGATTTTGTTGTTGTTATTCTGTCTCTCATTGTTCAAATAAACCTACCAATAAAATTATAGACTGATCATTTCTTTGTCAGTGGGCAAACGTACATAATCAGCAGGGGATCAAATACTTTTTTCCCTCACTGTACATTTTAGTCATTTAGCAGACGCTCTTATCCAGAGCGACTTACAGTTAGTGAGTGCATACAGTTTCATACTGGCCCCCTGTGGGAATAAAACCCACAACCCTGGCGTTGCAAGCGCCATGCTCTACCAACTGAGCTACACGGGACCGTGTTCAGAGAGAGTACAGAGAGATCCTTGATGAAAACCTGCTCCAGAGTGTTCAGGACCTCAGACTGGGGGCGAAGGTTCACCTTCCAACAGGACAACGACCCTAAGCACACAGCCAAGACAATGCAGGAGTGGCTTCGGGACAAATATCTGAATGTCCTCGAGTGGCCCGGACTTGAACCCGATCGAACATCTCTGGAGAGACCTGAAAATAGCAGTGCAGCGACACTCCCCATCCAACCTGACAGAGGATCTTCAGAGAAGAATGGGAGAAACTCCCCAAATACAGGTGTGCCAAGCTTGTCATACGCAAAAAGATTTGAGGCTGTACTCACTGCCAAAAGTGCTTCAACAAAGTACTGAGTAAAGGGTCTGAATACTTATGTAAATGTAATATTTCAGTTTTACATTTTTAATACATTTATAAAACAAAAATAAAACATGTTTTTGCTTTGTCATTATGGGGTATTGTGTGTAGATTGATAAGGGAAAAAACAAACATTTAATCCATTTCAGAATAAGGCCTGGAATGCTTTTCCAACAGTCTTGAAGGAGTTCCCACATATGCTGAGCACTTGTTGGCTGCTTTTCCTTCACTCTGCGGTCCGACTCATCCCAAACCATGTCAATTGGGTGGAGGTCGGGGGATTGTGGAGACCAGGTCATCTGATGCGGCACTCCATCACTCTCCTTCTTGGTAAAATAGCCCTTACACAGCCTGTAGGTGTGTTGGGTCATTGTCCTGTTGAAAAAGAAATGATAGTCCCACTAAGCCCAAACCTGATGGGATGGGGTATCACCGCAGAATGTTGTGGTAGCCATGCTGGTTAAGTGTGCCTTGAATTCTAAATAAATCACAGACAGTGTCACTAGCAAAGCACCCCCACACCATAACACCTCCTCCATGCTTTACGGTGGGAAATAGACATGCAGAGATAATCCGTTCACCCACACTGCGTCTCACAAAGACACGGCGGTTTGAACCAAAAATCTCAAATTTGGACTCTAGACCAAATGACACATTTCCACCGGTCTAATGTCCATTGTTTGCGTTTCTTGGCCCAAGCAAGTCTCTTCTTCTTATTGGTGTCCTTTAGTAGTGGTTTCTTTGCAGCATTTCGACCATGAAGGCCTGATTCACACAGTCTCCTCTGAACAGTTGATGTTGAGATGTGTCTGTTACTTGAACTCTGAAGCATTTATTTGGGCTGCAATTTCTGAGGCTGGTAACTCTAATGAACTTATCCTCTGCAGCAGAGGTAACTCTGGGTCTTCCATTCCTGTGGCAGTCCTCATGAGAGACAGTTTCATCATAGCGCTTGATGGTTTTTGCGACTGCACTTGAAGAAACTTTCAAAGTTCTTGAAATGTTCCGTATTGACTGACCTTCATGTCTTAAAGTAATGATGGACCGTTATTTCTCTTTGCTTATTTGAGCTGTGCTTGCCATAATATGGACTTGGTCTTTTACCAAATAGGACTATCTTCTGTATACCCCCCTCCCTTGTCACAACACAACTGATTAGCTCAAACGCATAAAGAAGGAAATAAATTCCACAAATTAACTTTTAAGAAGGCACACCTGTTAATTGAAATGCATTCCAGGTGACTACCTCATGAAGCTGGTTGAGAGAATGCCAAGAGTGTGCAAAGTTGTCATCAAGGCAAAGGGTGGCTACTTTGAATAATTACATTTACATTTTTACATTTTTGTCATTTAGCAGACGCTCTTATCCAGAGCGACTTACTGGCCCCCCGTGGGAATCGAACCCACAACCCTGGCGTTGCAAACGCCATGCTCTACCAACTGAATCTCAAATATAAAATATATTTTGATTTGTTTAACACTTTTTTGCTTACTACATGATTACATATGTGTTATTTCATAGTGTTGATGTCTTCACTATTATTCTACAATGTAGAAAATAGTAAAAATAAAGAAAAACCCTTGAATGAGTAGGTGTGTCCAAACTTTTGACTGGTATTGTATATAAACTCAACAAAAAAATAAATGTCCCTTTTTCAGGACCTTGTCTTTCAAAGATAATTCATAAAAATCCAAATAACTTCACAGATCTTAATTGTAAAGGGTTTAAACACTGTTTCCCATGCTTGTTCAATGAACCATAAACAATTAATGAACATACACCTGTGGAACGGTCGTTAAGACACTAACAGCTTAGATGGTAGGCAATTAAGGTCAGTTATGAAAATGTTGGACACTAAAGAGGCCTTTCTACGGACTCTGAAAACCCCCAAAAGAAAGATGTCCAGGGTCCCTGCTCATCTGCGTGAACGTGCCTTAGGCATGCTGCAAGGAGGCATGAGGACTGCAGATGTGGCCAGGGCCATAAATTGCAATGTCCGTACCGTGAGACGCCTAAGACAGCGCTACAGGGAGACAGGACAGACAGCTGATCGTCCTCGCAGTGGCAGACCATGTGTAACAACACCTGCACAGGATCGGTACATCCAAACATCACACCTGTGGGACAGGTACAGGATGGCAACAACAACTGCCCAAGTTACACCAGGAACGCACAATCCCTCCACCAGTGCTCAGACTGTCCGCAATAGGCTGAGAGAGGCTGTGAAGAGTCAACAGTGAAGAGGCGACTCCGGGATGCTGACCTTCTAGGCAGAGTTGCAAAGAAAATACCATATCTCAGACTGGCCAATAAAAATAAAATATTAAAATGGGCAGTCTGAGATATGGCTTTTTCTTTGCAACTCTGCCTAGAAGGTCAGCATCCCGGAGTCGCCTCTTCACTGTTGACGTTGATACTGGTGTTTTGCGGGTACTATTTAATGAAGCTGCCAGTTGAGGACCTGTGAGGCGCCTGTTTCTCAAACTAGACACTAATGTATTTGTCCTCTTGCTCAGTTGTGCACCAGGGCCTCCCACTCCTCTTTCTATTCTGGTTAGAGCCAGTTTGCACTGTTCTGTGAAGGGAGTAGTACACAGTGTTGTACGAGATCTTCAGTTTCTTGGCAATTTCTTGCATGGAATAGCCTTCATTTCTCAGAACAAGAATAGACTGACGAGTTTCAGAAGAAAGTTATTTGTTTCTGGCCATTTTGAGCCTCTAATCGAACCCACAATTGCTGATGCTCCAGATACTCAACTAGTCTCAAGAAGCCCAGTTTTATTGCTTCTTTAATCAGCACAACAGTTTTAAGCTGTGCTAACATATAATTGCAAAAGGGTTTACTAATGATCAATTAGCCTTTTAAAATGATAAACTTGGATTAGCAAACACAACGTGCCACTGGAACACAGGACTGATGGATGCTGATAATGGGCCTCTGTATGCCTATGTAGATATTCCATTAAAAACCAGCCGTTTCCAGCTACAATAGCCATTTACAATATTAACAATGTCTACACTGTATTTCTGATCAATTTGATGTTATTTTAATGGACAAAAAATTGCTTTTCTTTCGATAACAAGGACATTTCTAAGTGACCCCAAACTTTGAACGGTAGTGTGTGTATATATATATATATATATATATATATATATATATATATATATATATATATATATATATATATTATTATTATTTTTTTTTTTTCGGGGGGGGGGGTATTCTAATGGTTATTACGGTGACCGTGGTCATTTGGCTGACCAATAACCGTCATCCAAAATTCCATGACCGTCACAGCCCTGTGTGTGTGTGTGCGCACCTTTGAGGGCTGGCCGGTGTCTGATCCCCACAGAGACAAAGAAACAGTCCATGTCCACATGCAGGATACAGGACTGAGGGCCAGGAGCAGCTGAGGAACCTGAACAACAAACACACAGACAGACAAATCAGGAGAGACAGACAGACTTGTAACATACACAGAATAAGAAACACACACTAACATGTACACACAGCTACTCCTCACGTAATAAGGTCAGCAAAATGTGTCACACTCAGACTCACCCTTCCATAAACCCTGATGACATTAACAACATGCAGAATGTTTCCACTCAGACTCACCCTTCCATAAACCCTGATGACATTAACAACATGCAGAATGTTTCCACTCAGACTCACCCTTCCATAAACCCTGATGACATTAACAACATGCAGAATGTTTCCACTCAGACTCACCCTTCGATAAACCCTGATGACATTAACAACATGCAGAATGTTTCCACTCAGACTCACCCTTCCATAAACCCTGATGACATTAACAACATGCAGAATGTTTCCACTCAGACTCACCCTTCCATAAACCCTGATGACATTAACAACATGCAGAATGTTTCCACTGACATTTGAGAGAGAGAGACATGACTGGACTGAGTAATCAGAATTCACATGTCATCAGATAGAGACCATCCAATCCATCCCTTCCAAACACACTCCTCCTCCTCCTTACCCTCTCTCCTCTGGCATCTGAGCCTGTCTGTCCCGGGGAATGTGGCGCCTGTGGCCCTCCTCGTGCTCTGCAGCGTGTTGACATATTCAGAGAACTCACTTCTCCACGTGGAGATGTGATGTAGACGAGAGTGGGAGTAGTACTCTGAGATGATCCCCCCAGTCTTCGCCAGTGATGATTGGTGGTTGGTTTCCAGAGGGGCGGGGTTAGGAGAAAAGGCATTGTGGTGACTGCCATTCAGACGGACAGGAGAAGGGGAGGGGTTTGGGTTAGCAAGGGGGAGGGGTTTCTCAGGAGGGGAATCTGATTGACAGGGCTTCGGAGGTGGGAGATCGAGGGGGCGGGACGCCGAGGCAGCCGTTGCCTCCTGATAGGTGGGCGGCGGGGGTTTGGGTCTCTGTTCATTGGCCAGTTGTGCGTGGTGTCTGTAGTGAGACACAAGGGGAGGGGTTGGGTTTCTGGGGGGGCTGTGGAGAAGTTTGGGGGGGTCAGATTTCAAAGAGGAGTTGGATAGGGGGCTGGCAGGATGCAGGGACACAGACACCCCTGTGGACTTGCTGTCAAGGTTCAGGGCTCTGTCCGTGGTGGGTCGCATGGGGTTGGGGGAGAGATCCAGAGGCTTTAAGGCACCATTCACAGGGTGGGTGTGACCGTTGGTCAGAGGGGGGTCCTTCGCCCCTCTTGGGGGTCTGACAGGACAGGGGTCCTCAATGCCCCCGTCTTGCACCCAGTTTATTTGGGCGGTCCTCGTCTTGTCATAGGAGGTCAGTAATGATCCATTCCTTTAGGACAGAGAGAGACGTGGGAATTTAGAATCACAACGTGAAACCAATGTTCTTTATGTGCACCCTACTTTTGTATGTTATTATGCCAGCACCAATATACATATACAGTGTATTCGGAAAGTATTCAGACTTTTTCCACATTTTGTTGCGTTACAGCCTTATTTATAAAATTGATTAAATACTTTTCCCCCCTCAATTTACACACAATACCCCATAGTGACAAAGCGAAAACAGATGAGATTTTTGCAAATTTATAAAAATAAAATAAAAAATAAAAATAGCTTATTTACATTAGGATCCAGGCCCTTTGCTATGAGACTCGACATTGAGCTCAGGGGCATCCTGTTTCCATTGATCATCCTTGAGATGTTGCTACAACTTGATTGGAGTCCACCTATGTTAAATTCAATTGATTGGACATGATTTGGAAAGGCACACACCTGTCTATATAAGGTCCCACAGTTGACAGTGCATGTCAGAGCAGAAATCAAGCCATGAGGTTTCTCTTAGTGGTTATGAGCGTTGTGCCAGTAACCAAAAGGTCGCTTGTTATAATCCCCGAGCCAACTAGGTGAAAAATCTGTTGATGTGCCCTTGAGCAAGGCACTTAACCCTAATTGCTCCTGTAAGTCGCTCTGGATAAGAGCGTCTGCTAAATGACGTAAATGTAAAGGAATTGTCCGTATAGCTACGAGACAGGATTGTGTAGAGGCACAGATCTGGGGAAGGGTACCAAAAAATTTCTGCAGTATTGAAGGTCCCCAACAACACAGTGGCCTCCATAATTCTTTAACGGAAGAAGTTTGGAACCACCAAGACTCTTCCTAGAGCTGGCCGCCCGGTCAAACTGAGCAATCAGAGGAGAAGGGCATTGGTCAGGGAGGTGACCAAGAACCCGATGGTCAATCTGACAGAGCTCTAGGGTTCCTCTGTGGAGATGGGAGAACCTTCCAGAAGAACAACCATCTCTGCTGCACTCCACCAATTAGGCCTTTATGGTAGAGTGGCCAGACGGATGCCACTCCTCAGTAAAAAGGCACATGACAGCCCGCTTGGAGTTGCCAAAAGGTTTTGCAGGACTTTCAGACCATGATGAAACCAATATTGAACTCTTTGGCCTTAATGCCAAGCGTCACGTCTGGAGGAAACCTGGCACCATCCCTACGGTGAAGCATGATGGTGGCAGCATCATGCTGTGGGGATGTTCTTCAGTGGCAGGGGCTGGGAAACTAGTCAGGATCGAGGGAAAGATGAACGGAGCAAAGTACAAAGAGATCCTTGATGAAAACCTGCTCCAGAGCGCTCAGGACCTCAGACTGGGGCAAAGGTTCACCTTCCAACAGGACAACTACCCTAAGCACACAGCCAAGACACTCCCCAAATACAGGTGTGCCAAGCTTGTAGTGTAATACCGAAGAAGACTTGAGGCTGTAATCGCTGCCAAAGGTGCTTCAACTAAGTATTGAGTAAAGGGTCTGAATATTTATGTAAATGGTATATTTCTAAAAACCAGTTATTGCTTTGTCATTATAGGGTATTCTGTCTAGATTGATGAGGAAAAAAACAAGTTAATCAATTTTAGAATAAGGATGTAACCTAACAAAATGTGGAAAAGGTCAAGGGGTCTGAATACTTTCCGAAGGCACTGTATCAATACACACATAGACAAAACACAAACACACTCACAGTCTGAAGTCCAGATCCCGGTAGCTGTGCTGGAGGTGGTTGGAGAAGGAGGGGCTGGACTGAGGTTGTGCGTGCCCAGGTTTAGAGTGCTCATCGCTGGGGTGAGCTGGGATGGGATCGGGGGTCTGCGGGTGGGTGTCGGCTGGAGCAAGAGGCCGGATGCAGCCTTGCTTGGGCTGCCCTTGGCTGGGTGGGTGGTGGGGGATGTGTCCTGGGTCAGAGTAGAGGTGATTGGAGGAGAAGGGGCTGAGGAAGCCGCGTCCTGGGCTAAGGTGTCTGGACTGAGGGTAGAGGTGACTGGGGAGGGGGAGCGAGTGGCTGGGCTGGGGGTTGAGGTGGCCAGCTAGCGGATTATGCTGGGGGAGGAGATTGTCTGTGTGTAGATGACTATGGCTGGGCTTCCCAAGGCTGGGGGCTGGGTTGTTGTGGCCAGGTATGAGGTTATTGAGGCTGGGTACGGGGAGGCCTTGGCTGGGTTGGGTTTCCCCGCTGCTGGTTCCTGCAGCCTCTTGGCCCTGGCGAACACACACACTGGGGAAGCTCAGGCCTTTCTGCTTGGCATAGAGCTGGTACTGCAGGTAGGACAGGAGATGGCCAGCCTTGATACTGAAGGCAGGGAAAAAGGAATGTTCAAACACTATATGTAGATTAAATTACACAACACACAAACACAACACCCACCTGTCAGTGATCCACTCCGGCCGGATCACCTTCTTGTCCCTCAGCTCCTGTATCTTGCTATTGGGCAGGTTGGTGGCGATTATGTGGGTGGTCTTGGAACGGGAGTAGTACATGTGAAACTGACCCCCATGCAGCATCATCAGCCTGCGCAGCTCGTCCGCAGTGGGGTCTAGGTATAGAAATATAATGAATTGAATGGAACTAGCGCTGATATCCACATTCTACTCTTTACATTTTTATTTTTAGCAGACGCTCTTATCCAGAGCGACTTACAGTTAGTGAGTGCATACATTATTATTATTTTTTCTTTTTACATACTGGCCCCCCTATGCGCACTCACACAGGCAGGGTCAAAAGCCAGAGAGGAAGAACAGGGGCAGACATTAAAGAGCAGTAAAGCATACACACACACATATACAGTGGGGAGAACAAGTATTTGATACACTGCCGATTTTGCAGGTTTTCCTACTTACAAAGCATGTAGAGGTCTGTAATTTTTATCATAGGTACACTTCAACTGTGAGAGACGGAATCTAAAACAAAAATCCAGAAAATCACATTGTATGATTTTTAAGTAATTAATTTGAATTTTATTGCATGACATAAGTATTTGATCACCTACCAACCAGTAAGAATTCCGGCTCTCACAGACCTGTTAGTTTTTCTTTAAGAAGCCCTCCTGTTCTCCACTCATTACCTGTATTAACTGCACCTGTTTGAACTCGTTACCTGTATAAAAGACACCTGTCCACACACTCAATCAAACAGACTCCAACCTCTCCACAATGGCCAAGACCAGAGAGCTGTGTAAGGACATCAGGGATAAAATTGTAGACCTGCACAAGGCTGGGATGGGCTACAGGACAATAGGCAAGCAGCTTGGTGAGAAGGCAACAACTGTTGGCGCAATTATTAGAAAATGGAAGAAGTTCAAGATGACGGTCAATCACCCTCGGTCTGGGGCTCCATGCAAGATCTCACCTCGTGGGGCATCAATGATCATGAGGAAGGTGAGGGATCAGCCCAGAACTACACGGCAGGACCTGGTCAATGACCTGAAGAGAGCTGGGACCACAGTCTCAAATAAAACCATTAGTAACACACTACGCTGTCATGGATTAAAATCCTGCAGCGCACGCAAGGTCCCCCTGCTCAAGCCAGCGCATGTCCAGGCCCATCTGAAGTTTGCCAATGACAATCTGGATGATCCAGAGGAGGAATGGGAGAAGGTAATGTGGTCTGATGAGACAAAAATAGAGCTTTTTGGTCTAAACTCCACTCGCCGTGTTTGGAGGAAGAAGAAGGATGAGTACAACCCCAAGAACACCATCCCAACCGTGAAACATGGAGGTGGAAACATCATTCTTTGGGGATGCTTTTCTGCAAAGGGGACAGGACAACTGCACCATATTGAGGGGAGGATGGATTGGGCCATGTATCGCGAGATCTTGGCCAACAACCTCCTTCCCTCAGTAAGAGCATTGAAGATGGGTCGTGGCTGGGTCTTCCAGCATGACAACGACCCGAAACACACAGCCAGGGCAATTAAGGAGTGGCTCCGTAAGAAGCATCTCAAGGTCCTGGAGTGCCCTAGCCAGTCTCCAGACCTGAACCCAATAGAAAATCTTTGCAGGGAGCTGAAAGTCTGTATTGCCCAGCGAGCCCCGAAACCTGAAGGATCTGGAGAAGGTCTGTATGGAGGAGTGGGCCAAAATCCCTGCTGCAGTGTGTGCAAACCTGGTCAGGAAACGTATGATCTCTGTAATTGCAAACAAAGGTTTCTGTACCAAATATTAAGTTCTGCTTTTCTGATGTATCAAATACTTATGTCATGCAATAAAATGCAAATTAATTACTTAAAAATCATACAATGTGATTTTCTGGATTTTTGTTTTAGATTCCGTCTCTCACAGTTGAAGTGTACCTATGATAAAAATTACAGACCTCTACATGCTTTGTAAGTAGGAAAACCTGCAAAATCGGCAGTGTATCAAATACTTGTTCTCCCCACTGTATACACATACAGTTGAAGTCGGAAGTTTACATACACCTTAGCCAAATACATTTAAACTCACAATTCCTGACATTTAATCCTAGTAGAAATTCCCTGTTTTAGGTCAGTTAGGATCACCACTTTATTTAAAAAATTTGAAATGTCAGAATAATAGTAGAGAGAATGATTTATTTCAGCTTTTATTTCTTTCATCACATTCCCAGTGGGTCAGAAGTTTACATACACTCAATTAGTATTTGGTAGCATTGCCTTTAAATTGTTTAACTTGGGTCAAACGTTTCGGTTTGCCTTCCACAAGCTTCCCACAATAAGTTGGGTGGATTTTGGCCCATTCAGAGCTAGTGTAACGGAGTCAGGTTTGTAGGCCTCCTTGCTCGAAAATGCTTTTTCAGTTCTGCCCTCTATATTTTCTATAGGATTGAGATCAGGGCTTTGTGATGGCCACTCCAATACCTTGACTTTGTTGTCCTTAAGCCATTTTGCTACAACTTTGGAAGGATGCTTGGGGTCATTGTCCATTTGGAAGACCCATTTGCGACCAAGCTTTAACTTCCTGACTGATGTCTTGAGATGTTGCTTCAACATATCCACATACTTTTCCTTCCTCATGGTGCCATCTATTTTGTGAAGTGCACCAGTCCCTCCTGCAACAAAGCACCCCACAGCATGATGCTGCCACCCCCGTGCTTCACGGTTGGGATGGTGTTCTTCGGCTTGCAGGTCCCCCTTTTTCCTCCAAACATAACGATGGTCATTATGGCCAAACAGTTCTATTTTTGTTTCATCAGACCAGAGGACATTTCTCCAAAAAGTACGATCTTTGTCCCCATGTGCAGTTGCAAACCGTAGTCTGGCTTTTTTATGGCGGTTTTGGAGCAGTGGCTTCTTCCTTGCTGAGCGGCCTTTCAGGTTATGTCGATATAGGACTCGTTTTACTGTGGATATAGATACTTTTGTACCGGTTTCCTCCAGCATCTTCACAAGGTCCTTTGCTGTTGTTCTGGGATTGATTTGCACTTTTCACACCAAAGTACGTTCATCTCTAGGAGACAGAACGCGTCTCCTTCCTGAGCGGTATGACGGCTGCGTGGTCCCATGGTGTTTATGCTTGCGTACTATTGTTTGTACAGATGAACGTGGTACCTTCAGGCGTTTGGAAATTGCTCCCCAGGATGAACCAGACTTGTGGAGGTCTACAATTCTTTTTTCTGAGGTCTTGGCTGATTTCTTTTGATTTTCCCATGATGTCAAGCAAAGAGGCACTGAGTTTGAATGTAGGCCTTGAAATACATCCACAGGTACACCTCCAATTGACTCAAATGATGTCAATTAGCCTATGAGAAGCTTCTAAAGCCATGACATTTTTCTGGAATTTTCCAAGCTGTTTAAAGGCACAGTCAACTTAGTGTATGTCAACTTCTGACCCACTGGAATTGTGATACAGTGAATTATAAGTTAAATAATCTGTCTGTAAACAATTGTTGGAAAAATTACTTGTGTCATGCACAAAGTAGATGTCCTAACCGACCTGCCAAAACTATAATTTGATACCAAGAAATTTGTGAAGTGGTTGAAAAATGAGTTTTAATGACTCCAACCTAAGTGTATGTAAACTTTCGACTTCAACTGTGTGTGTGTGTGTATATATATGCAATTTTTGCTAATTTATAAAAAATTATTAACTGAAATATGACATTTACATAAGTATTCAGACCCTTTACTCAGTACTTTGTTGAAGCACCTTTGGCAGTGATTACAGCCTCCAGTCTTCTTGGGTATGACGCTACAAGCTTGGAACACCTGTATTTGGGGAGTTTCTCCCATTATTTTCTGCAGATCCTCTCAAGCTCTGTCAGGTTAGATGGGGAGCGTTTCGGCACAGCTATTTTCAGGTCTCTCCAGAGATGTTAGATCGGGTTCAAGTCCGGGCTCTGGCTGGGCCACTCAAGGACATTCAGAGACTTGTCCCAAAGCCACTCCTGCATTGTCTTGGCTGTGTGCTTAGGGTAGTTGTCCTGTTGGAAGGTGAACCTTCGCCCCAGTCTGAGGTCCTGAGCGCTCTGGAGCAGGTTTTCATCAAGGATCTCTCTGTACTTTGCTCCGTTCATCTTTGCCTCGATCCTGACTAGTCTCCCAGTCCCTGCCGCTGAAAAACATCCCCACCTCATGATGCTGCCACCATCATGCTTCACCGTAGAGATGGTGCCAGGTTTCCTCCAGATGTGACGCTTGGCATTCAGGCATTCAGGACAATCTTTGTTTCATCAGACCTGAGAATCTTGTTTCTCATGGTCAGAGTCCTTTAGGTGCCTTTTGGCAACTCCAAGCGGGCTGTCATGTTCCTTTTACTGAGGAGTGGCTTCTATCTGGCCACTCTACCATAAAGGCCTGATTGGTGGAGTGCTGCAGAGATAGTTGTCCTTCTGGAAGTTTCTCCCATCTGCACAGAGGAACTCTAGAGCTCTGTCAGAGCAGAGTGACCATCAGGTTCTTGGTCACCTCCCTGACCAAGGCCCTTCTCCCCCGATTGCTCAGTTTGGCCGGGTGGCAGGTTCTAGGAAGAGTCTTATTGGTCCCAAACTGCTTCCATTTAAGAATGATGGAGGCCACTGTGTTCTTGGGGACCTTCAATGCTGCAGATATTTGTTGGTACCCTTCCCCAGATCTGTGCCTCGACACAATCCTGTTTCGGAGCTCTACGGACAATTCCTTCAACCCCATGGCTTGGTTTTTGCTCTGACATGCACTGTCAACTGTGGGACCTTATATAGACAGGTGTGTGCCTTTCCAAATCATGTCCTTATCAATTGAATTTACCACAGGTGGACTCCAATCAAGTTGTAGAAACATCTCAAGGATGATCAATGGGAACAGGATGCACCGGAGCTCAATTTCGAGTCTCATAGCAAAGGGTCTGAATACTTATGTAAATAAGGTATTTCCGTTTTTTATTTTTAATAAATGTGCAACATTTTCTAAAAACCTGTTTTGCTTTGTCATTATGGGGTAGTGTGTAGATTGCAGAGGGAATTTTATTTAAAAAATCAATTTTAGAATAAGGCTGTAATTTAACAAAATGTGGAAAAGTCAAGGGGTCTGAATACTTTCCGATGGCACTGTATATATAAATATGAGAGTGAGAGGTTATTTCCATGTACTCCCTGTGATATTCTTAGAAATCATTTACATATCCAATTTATATTTCCTCTAGGTGAAAAGAAAACGAGAAGATGGAAGAGGAGGAAAGACAAAGGGTACAAAAGCGAAATGAGGAGAAAATTAAGGGAAAGAGTGAAAGGTGGAAAGGGGAATTTGAGAAGAAATGGGGTAAAAATTGAAAAGTGGAGATAAGAGGGGGAAAGAGAAAAGAATGAAAGATGGAGATTGGGATAAAAGGAGAGAGGGGAAGGCAGTGTGGGAAAACAGAATTAAAGAGGTAGAACGTGTCGACCGCACAGCAATCCCAAAAAAGCCTTCTATGGCTTATCTAACAACTGGAGCCAGTCTATTGTACAGTCCACATGCACACACAGTCCATACATCGCAGTTACACACCCACACAGTCCATACATCGCAGTTACACACCCACACAGTCCATACATCGCAGTTACACACCCACACAGTCCATACATCGCAGTTACACACCCACACAGTCCATACATCGCAGTTACACACCCACACAGTCCATACATCGCAGTTACACACCCACACAGTCCATACATCGCAGTTACACACCCACACAGTCCATACATCGCAGTTACACACACACACAGTCCATACATCGCAGTTACACACACACACAGTCCATACATCGCAGTTACACACACACAGTCCATACATCGCAGTTACACACCCACACAGTCCATACATCGCAGTTACACACCCACACAGTCCATACATCGCAGTTACACACCCACACAGTCCATACATCGCAGTTACACACCCACACAGTCCATACATCGCAGTTACACACCCACACAGTCCATACATCGCAGTTACACACCCACACAGTCCATACATCGCAGTTACACACCCACACAGTCCATAAATCGCAGTTACACACCCACACAGTCCATACATCGCAGTTACACACCCACACAGTCTCTCTAGAGAAATAATTGCAATCAAAGTAAAATTGCTTAGAAAGTATAAATGGGTTACTACCTCCATTAAAGCATTAAGGACTGTATTTAGTATCCATAGGAGGGATAAGGATAGAATCAATTGGAGAAGGGTGGGTATGGTGTAAAGGCGTCCGCATGCTTCCCATCCGAAACAGTTAGGAACAGTTTGAGTATACGTATATTATGACGACATTTTGTGACATTTTTCTTTGTTTTGATCTTCGGCAAGGTTTTTTCCGGCTGTTCATGCACACAAATTATCTCGAGGCAAGCTGAAGTCGGTAGCCGAAGTCTACGCCCCCTTCGACGGTGATTGGTCAACAGTAGGGATTCTTCAATTAAGTGTTTGTTGTCATTCAACGAGACAGGACTCGTTTTCATGCACATTTTTCAACTTCTGAAATACTGCACCAAACAGCTTAGTTAGATGTAAAATTGCGCGATTAAAACGTCAAAATTAATGACCGATTTCTTGAGTTATCTTAGATTAATTCGGACTATTTTGAGGAAGTGTATGCTGGCTACAGCGTCTCTAGATGGATAAACAGTACTATTGCCACTTTTTCTCATTTTTCAAGCGAAGGTATTTTAAGGGAGTATGCGAGCACACTCGTTCGGTTGGCCTAGCCAGACCATGCTGACGCCTTAATGCCCATGTGTCTCACCTGTGTACCCGTTGACATAGATGGCCACCCCAGTGAAGATGCTAGAGCAGGCTCCATCTTTCTGTTTCTCTCTGGGGGCGTCCATCTTAAACTGCTCATCCAGCTTGGACACCTTAGCAGCCATGTAGCCACCCTACACACACACATTTTACATTTAAGTCATTTAGCAGACACTTATCTAGAGCGACTTACAGGAGCAATTATGGTTAAGTGCCTTGCTCAAGGGCACAGACAGATTTTTCACCTGGTCGGTTACTAGCCCAACGCTCTTAACCGCTAGGCTACCTGCCGCCGCTACACACATTTTAGAATTTGTTCTAACATGAAACCATGAAATACTCACTGCAGACTGATAGTCACACATGCAACAGGCCTCCAGGCAAAGTCAATGGAGTGCCAAATTAAGGATGAAAACCTTATCATGCCTGACATATACAGAGCACACTCTCTCCTACTTTATATTCTTAGCCTCTCCTTTCTCATCAGTAGTCATAAGTACACATAATCACACAGGTATCAACCTAGGTTGTTTGCACAATTCACTATGCACTACCATATTATCCCACTGAGCTAAAGTGAGCCAATTGGACAATGTAACAGATAATGCCACGCTCGTGGGTCTCCATGGCAACAGAAACAGAAAGTTACTCACCCTGGAAGCCCAACCGTTGTCATCCCTGTCCCTCTTCCTCCGTCCATCTCGACTCATACTGAGAAAACCTGGAAAAGAGAGAGTGCGAGAAAAAAATAGAGAAATAGTGTGTTTTAAGGAGCCATATCTATATGACAAGGAGTCAGTCCGTGTAAAAGAGAACCCACACCCCACACAGATACACAGTGTGTTTGTTATCAGGTTTTTAGGTGATCGATCAGCCAACTTCAGTACACTAATTAGGCTTGTATTGTAATTAGTGATCGATACAGGCAGATCTACATCAGGCCCCGCCCTAGAAGAACAGTACAACAGCGTGTGTGGGAAAGTGTGGTGACCAATGTGTTCTTACCATATAATTTTACCTTCCTTGGTCTGTCTCTTTGTCCCTCAAACACACACTCTACAACATTTTATTTTTCTCACACTTGATGCTCTCCGCTCTCACCCTATATCCTGTGTGTGCCTCCATCTCAGAGGGTGTGATTATGATGAAACAATCCTCATACTCTCATTCTTATTACATTATTTTTTAATTATACGTCTCTGGACCCTTTAGTTCTGGCCTTGAGCATTGTAGCGCTCATCTCAAACCGATTTCTCTTCAAACCTCCTCTATTGGGCTTTTTGAGTGCAATCAAATCAGGCTGTTGTCCAATTTGACATGAGGAGGGTGTTTCCAAGCGCAAAGAGAGCTCATCAACTTTTGATTTTGGAGTGTACTCTCCTTTTAGCACTGACCCCAGCCTTGGTCTGTGACCCATGTCTCGACCAGAGGGAGTAGGCCAGTAAGCCTGTCCTAACATAGGCCCTGAGAGAGGGAGCCTGAAGGCCCGCCAACAAGAATCCCAAAGCAGAGAATGGCACATCTGTTGAATGAACAAGCAGTCAGGTTTAACACTGATCGTCTGTGTTCCCAATCTGCCCATCACCTGTAGCTGGCTGCCATGATTGCAGCGTGTGACTTATATCCTGCCAGGGCCAGGTGCTCCAATCATGCAAATGAGCACGAGCAGGAAGAACACACTCAGGTCAGTTCAAAGGGAGGTGACATCAAACATAGGGAGAATCTCAATTGCATACTCCTCACATCCTCACCTCCTTCTCAAAACCTATTGGATGAGAAAGACAGAGGTCCCGCCCCTCTGCCCTTCTCCTCCAATGGTTCTTTGAGAAGGAGGAGAGAGGACGCGAGGAGTATGCAATTTAAATTCTCCCAAGAAGGAGAAAATGAAGGAAGCCAAATGAAAAAAAGAATGGATGTAGCCTTGGGTAGAAATGCTATGGACAAAGCAAGGCACAGAAAAAAGAAAGAGAGGAGGGGAAACAGACAGAAATAGACATTGGCAGATAACCTATATGGAGTAGAAAGCAGTAAGAAAGAGGTGGAGATATGGGGTTAAACCTAGGCCTACATCCCATCCATGGACAAGTAATCAATCAGACAAAGAGAAAGTAGCCGAGAAAAATAGACAGACGTAGGAGAGTCAGAGTCTTTAATCTAGCCCTGCAACATTTGCTGGTTTAGGATCAGCTTTATCTGGCGCTGTTATGACCTTTACCATTATGAGCTAAAAATACACCTGTCTCCAGAACAGTTCTAACGGGCCTCCCGCTGTATTACTACTACCTGACTCTGCAGCAGCATTTAAGCAGCAGGGATGGCTGGACCATAGACATAGATAGAGGACTCATCTTTGTATCTGTGCCATTACAGGGTTCGTGACAGCTTGGGCAGCACCATTGAGGCTATCTCCGTTTTGAAGTAGTACATTTTCTTCTTCAAGATTGTCTGATCCCACCCGATGACCAGGTTGGACATGACTCCAACAGGGTCAACAGGAGGGATCAGCCAATAAAGTTGGTGTCAAATCGGAGGGCCTGTTGTCTGGACCTCTGGCAGTCTCTATGGGGGTGCCACAGGGTTCAATTCTCGGGCCGACTCTATTCTCTGTGTATATCAATGATGTCGCTCTTGCTGCTGGTGACTCTCAGATCCACCTCTACTCTACGCAGACGAAACCATTTTGTATACATCTGGCCCTTCATTGGACACTGTGTTAACAAACCTCCAAACGAGTTTCAATGCCATACAACACTCCTTCCGTGGCCTCCAACTGCTCTTAAACGCTAGTAAAACTAAATGCATGCTCTTCAATCGAACGCTGCTTGCACCCGCCCGCCTGACTAGAATCACTACTCTCGGCGGGTCTGACTTAGAATATGTGGACAACTACAAATACCTAGGTGTCTGGTTAGACCGTAAACTCTCCTTCCAGACTCACATTAAGTATCTCCAATCGAAAGTTACATCTAGAATCGGCTTCCTATTTCGCAACAAAGCCTCCTTCACTCATGCTGCTAAACATGCCCTCGAAAAACTGACTATCCTACCGATCCTTGACTTCGGCGATGTCATTTACAAAATAGCTTCCAACACTCTACTCAGCAAATTGGATGTATTATATCACAGTGCCATCCGTTTTGACACCAAAGCCCCATATACTACCCACCATTGTGACCTGTACGCTCTCGTTGGCTGGCCCTCACTACATATTCGTCGCCAAACCCACTGGCTCCAGGTCATTTATAAATCACTTCTAGGCAAATCCCCGCCTTATCTTAGATCATTATCTCCAGCCACCCTAGTCATAGACTGTTCTCTCTGCTACCGCACGAAAAGCGGTACCGGAGTGCCAAGTCTAGGTCCAAAAGACTTCTCAACAGCTTCTACCCCCAAGCCATAAGACTCCTGAACAGCTAATCATGGCTACCCAGACTATTTGCACTGCCCCCCCACCCCATCTTTTTACGCTGCTGCTACTCTGTTAATTATTTAACTTTTTTATTAAAAATAAATGCACTGTTGGTTAAGGGCTGTAAGTAAGCATTTCACTGTAATGTCTGCACCTGTTGTATTTGGTGCATGTGGCCAATAAAATTGTATTTGGTCACCATAGCAACATCCACCCGTAGTATGTGCTCCAGCAGGTACATCTCACTGGTCATCCCCAAAGCCAACACCTCCTTTGGCCGCCATTCCTTCCAGTTCTCTGCTGCAAATGACTGGAACTAACTGCAAAAATCTCTGAAGCTAGAGACTCTTATCTCCCTCACTAACTTTAAGCATCAGTTGTCAGAGCAGCTTACCGATCACTGCATCTGTACACAGCCCATCTGTAATTAGCCCGCCCAACTACCTCATCCCCATATTGTTATTTACATTGTTATTTATTTTGCTCATTTGCACCCCAGTATCTCTATTTGCACATCTTCTTCTGCACATCTATCACTCCAGTGTTAATACTAAATTGTAATTATTTTGCACTATGGCCTATTTATTGCCTTACCTCCATAACTTACTACATTTGCACACACTGTATATAGATTTTCTATTGTGTTATTGACTGTACGTTTTGATTGTTCCATATGTAACTCTGTGTTGTTGTTGTTTTTAATCGCACTGCTTTGCTTTACCTTGGCCAGGTCGTAGTTGTAAATGAGAACTTGTTCTCATTTTACATTTACATTTTAGTCATTTAGCAGACGCTCTTATCCAGCTGGCTTACCTGGTTAAATAAAGGTGAAATAAATCAATCAAAAAAGGGCTGGTACCAGGCTGTCACCAGAGGCATAGACGGTCAGGCTAGATATGAGAGAGATGCTGGGTGTGAGGAGGGACAGAGTATGTATTTACTAAAGCAGGCAAAGTCAGAGCAATTATTACTGATTTCCATTACAAAGAAAATCAAAATCAGTACAAAGAGCAGAGCAGCAGACATCAGTCTAACTGCAGCCTCTTCCTTTTTGTCTGAGAGCTGTTATGGAGCATGACTTGTGCTGTGCCACCACTGCTCTCCTCACTGACTGAATTTACTGTACTGAAAATGCTAAAGTAAGCAGGTTGCTGTGGTCATGCTTGCTGGCCTTGCTGGAGTTGGCTACAGGTCTAGTTAGCCCCCCCCTCCCTGCTCTTTCCCTCCTCGATCAGAACACAAACAAGGATTTGTGGTCGACCTGCATGACGAGCACTGGCTGGACACACGAATGGGGTTAATTTTACTTTAAGCTAGATATAGCTATGCATACGGACTAGCATTGACGATTTCCTATGTGTGTCCCTAAGCTTGTTAGCTAGATCCACGCCTGATTCTGTGTGGGAAATGTATTGCTTGCTTCGTCATGTGTCTGTCTGCTAGTGTGGTCCCATGTGATTTTCACTACCACAGACCTAAAAAGTAGCCACGTTAGTCTCGAATGAAGACTATCAGAAAAAGCAAGCAGAAAGAGATCATTATGCAAATCAAGCTAGCTGCAGTTAGCTAGTAAATAACAAATGTAACCGAATGAATCGTGTCGCAGCGCTACAGAGTATCAATTCAGACTGTACACAAATTCTGTGTGCAGTGAGGACACGTTGCTTAGGTCGAAATTATGTTACATAATTGCCCAACAATGAATAAACAGGAGGTGCACGAGTGTGTGCTACAAAGTGTCCACACTGTACAGTTCCCATTGTAAAAGCGGAAGTCACTTTGCTACTCACCTTTTCTCTCTTTTACTGACTTGATCTTGTGCTGAAATCAAGCAGCTAAATGTCGTTGTCGCAGGCTGGATTCTTCTTCTAAAGGGTCTAGGCGGTGGAGATATTCCTTATTTTGAGTTTAGTGTAACTGTTGTGGTCTTCCTATTTTTACATGCTCTCGGGGTTCTTGAATAATCTCTGATCACCTTTCTCCGTGTGCTCTCCATTTTCAGCAGCCTGTCTGCTTTTTCTCTCTACATCCCTTCTCTCCCTCTCTCAACTCCCTGGCTCCTCCCCTCACTGTTTACCGCCTTAAACCCCCCTCCCTGTCGGGTCAGTGATAGCTCCCATTGCCGTTGGCTGGGGTTATCGTGCCACCCCGTGGCGAGTCAACAACACTACACTTGACGCAGCGCTGTGAAGGGTCACGTTCCATTTCATTGCCAATGTCCTAGCCTTTAATACCTCATCGGTCTCCACCGCAGAAATAAGTATTTATTCCTCCACTTAAACTGGAGGGTCTGAAAATCGCACAGCTAGCACTGCGATGCAGTGCCTTAGACCACTGAGCCACTCGGGAGCCATAATATGACATTTGAAATGTCTCTATTCCTTTAAAACCATTGTGGGTGTAATGTTTACTGTTTATTTTTTATTTTTATTTCACCTTTGTTTATTATCTATTTCACTTGCTTTGGCAATGTAAACATATGAGAGAGAGAGAGAGAGAGAGAGAGAGAGAGAGAGAGAGAGAGAGAGAGAGAGAGAGAGAGAGAGAGAGAGAGAGAGAGAGAGAGAGAGAGCGCAAAGCAGTAAACTGTCTGGGCCCCGTTTCTCAAAAGCATCTAAATTCCTACCCTTAAAATGATTTTGGGAAACTGGGCCCTGGACTGATCACTGAAACAAGCAATATACAATATGCATATAATTTATGGTAGCCATGGCTCTCGGCGGAAAAAAGCCATGCATGCAACCAAGAAGCGGACTAGAGTCCCAGAGTCCAAATAGAGGGCTGTGTGTAGACTAGGCAGAGTGTGTGACAGAAAGTGCGACAGAAAAATGATACTTTTTTTTATCTTTTGTTTCGATGCAGACTGGCCCCGGTGTCCTCAGAAACCCTAGCCCAACCGGCCAGCAGATGGCGCTATTATTCCAGCAAACCTAGCATGCGCACAAACTACACAAAATGACGCACGGGCGACGTACATGCGGAGAATACCGAAACGCTGTGGAGCTCTGAGACTTCAGTTCAGTCCAGTGTAGGCCTACTGCTACTGGGTGAACCGTTATCTCAAAAGTCTCTGTTGGAACGTGTGGCAATATCTGTTATCAGCCGCTGAACATTATGCGGATGTGAACAGCAACATCTAAACTATCAGTTCAATTCCAATCTCTGCTCCAGTGATCTCACTGAATGGATGGCGTGCAATGCACATTCGTTATTTAATTCATAAACCCGTTAACCCCACAGAAGCACATTCCGGAAATCCGATGCATGAAGTCAAAGCAAATGTGATATTTCAAGTTTGTTCCATTGTCATGTTTCATCTACAGTAGCCAACTCTAAATATAGATTATCTGATGCTTTTAAAAATGTTCTCTCCGGGTGTAATTGTATTGCGCCTGTCACGCGCACAGATGTAGGCTAGTCTACATCCTCCCCAGTCTCATTGGCTGTTCCGAGCTGTTGCTATGGTTCCAGACAGCGGATGCTGAGGCTTGCCATAGCAGTCTTCCTATTGGTGCAAAGGGCATCAGGGTAATAAGTGATGTCGAAAAAAATAACTAGCTCTATCAGACAACCTACTCAGAGAAAGAAAGAAAGACAGAAAGATGGGGGAGAGAGAGGGAGCAGAAAGAAAGTGAGGCTACCCACTGGGCACAAACATCAATTCAATGTCTATTCCACTTTGGTTCAAAGTAATTTCGTAGAAATGACATGGAAACAATGTTGATTCAACCAGTGTGTGCCCAGTGGGTAGGGAGTCAGTCAGACAGGGAGAGATTAAGGAGAGAAGCACAGTCTGATCAGAAATACATTTAACTGGAATACACACACACACACACCTTCATCTAAATATGGAAAGTTGAGCGGGGACACAAATATAATTTAGGATGTATCTGAGCGATTACTAGGTGTCAGTGAACATTTTCTATTTGGGGATAAATCCTTGTTGTTAGGCTATAGGGGGTCATATACCAACTTTGCTTCAACAAACAAGGAGATTCATACAAATTGCAATATCAAAAATACATTTATGAAATATAATTCGGTATGCAACTTTTGATAATTACATTACACCATATTATAAATAGCAATTTTGCATAGACAGGAACATGAATGCTGGCCCATCCACTCGGCAACAAAACAAAATCAAAATGCCATCTTTTGGATATTTTTGTTAAAAACAAATAATCTGACACACCTATTGCACATACAACATACATAAAAAAGTGAAAGGCATCTCAAAATGTTCTTAAAAGGGCCATCACACAGTGTAGTCATACAAAATAGCTCCCAGTAACTTGGTCTACATTTTGGGATGAGTGGTCTGACAGTCCAAAATAAAACTCAAAATCCCAACTTCACCTTTCCCCTGATGAAACCATTAATCCTGGTAAGGCCCATGGGAGATGTAGTCCAGGTCATTTGTCTCTAGTTATTTTGTACAGTAGAGAAATCATAAAGTCTTCACAGGTGCACTGTACCATGTTTCTCTTCCATTTCCTTTTTAGACAGTTTCTGTGTGTGTTTTGTCATTACATATGTGGCACGTTTGGCAAAGCAGCGAGTTTGAAGGCATTAAATCCATGTGGAAGTTTATAGATCTGCACTGATAATCTGAAGATGAAGAGTAAAGATATACTAAAACAGTTCCTTTGCCTGTTTGCAGGATTAACAACACCTTCCCCCATACAAGGTGAAGCACTATGAGCACCAGGAAAGGAGCAACTGTGTATAAATCCAGTCCATAATTTATGATACATGCTGAGAATTGAAGAGTATTAATCCTTAAAACGTAGAATACAGAGGGAATCTTCCATTTCTAATCACTTGTGTCCCACTCTCCCTCCTTCCCTTAGACCAGGTTGTTGGGTCTCGCCCATAGAGATTGATAGAGGCCTCTAGTGGCCAAAAGGCTGTGTTAGCATGGGCAGCGCCATTGAGGGCTTCCACCATTTTAATGTAGTCAACTGGGTGACAGTCAACTTCCTGTTGGAGTCATGTCCAAGCAGGTCATCAGGAGGGATCAGCCAACTGTGAAGAATAAAATTGACTACTTAAAAATGGAGATTGCCTCAATGGCGCTGCCGGTGCGCTCACAGATGCCATAATGGGAACTATAGAGGGATGCTTTTTCTATCATTCTCTGTGGTCTCGCCCCTCCCTCCACTAACCCACGTTGGCACTGATGCGTATCCACTGTAGAGCCTGTCTGGTGTACTGGACTGCATGAGTAATACTACTGTGGAGAGTCAACGGCCCCGACAGGGTGTTCAAGTAGTTAAAGAACTCTGGAAAGAAAGAGAGAGAGAAAGAGAGAGAGAGAGAAAGAGAGAGAGAGATAAGTAGAGAGAGAGAGAGAGAGAGAGAGAGAGAGAGAGAGAGAGAGAGAGAGAGAGAGAGAGGGAAAGAGATTTAGAGAAAGCGGGGGGTGGGGGGGTGGGGTGGGGGAGTTAGATAAAATCTAATAAAACACTGAAACCTAGTTTGAACAAACTGATCTCTCTCTCTCTCTCTCTCTCTCTCTCTCTCTCTCTCTCTCTCTCTCTCTCTCTCTCTTACTGTCAATTCAATTCAATTTCAATTTAAAGGGCATTATTGGCATGGAAAACATATGTTTACATTGCCAAAGCAAGTGAAATACATAATAAACAAAAGTGAAATAAACAATAAGAAATGAACAGTAAACATTACACTCACAAAAGTTCCAAAATAATAAAGAAGTGTCATATTATGTCTATATACAGTGGGGGAAAAAAGTATTTAGTCAGCCACCAATTGTGCAAGTTCTCCCACTTAAAAAGATGAGAGAGGCCTGTCATTTTCATCATAGGTACATGTCAACTATGACAGACAAAATGAGGAAAAAAAATCCAGAAAATCACATTGTAGGATTTTTAATGAATTTATTTGCAAATTATGGTGGAAAATAAGTTTTTGGTCAATAACAAAAGTTTCTCAATACTTTGTTATATACCCTTTGTTGGCAATGACACAGGTCAAACGTTTTCTGTAAGTCTTCACAAGGTTTTCATACACTGTTGCTGGTATTTTGGCCCATTCCTCCATGCAGATCTCCTCTAGAGCAGTGATGTTTTGGGGCTGTCGCTGGGCAACACGGACTTTCAACTCCCTCCAAAGATTTTCTATGGGGTTGAGATCTGGAGACTGGCTAGGCCACTCCAGGACCTTGAAATGCTTCTTACGAAGTCACTCCTTCGTTGCCCGGGCGGTGTGTTTGGGATCATTGTCATGCTGAAAGACCCAGCCACGTTTCATCTTCAATGCCCTTGCTCATGGAAGGAGGTTTTCACTCAAAATCTCACGATACATGGCCCCATTCATTATTTCCTTTACACGGATCAGTCGTCCTGGTCCCTTTGCAGAAAAACAGCCCCAAAGCATGATGTTTCCACCCCCATGCTTCACAGTAGGTATGGTGTTCTTTGGATGCAACTCAGCATTCTTTGTCCTCCAAACACGACGAGTTGAGTTTTTACCAAAAAGTTATATTTTGGTTTCATCTGACCATATGACATTCTCCCAATCCTCTTCTGGATCATCCAAATGCACTCTAGCAAACTTCAGACGGGCCTGGACATGTACTGGCTTAAGCAGGGGGACACGTCTATTGCACTGCAGGATTTGAGTCCCTGGCGGCGTAGTGTGTTACTGATGGTAGGCTTTGTTACTTTGGTCCCAGCTCTCTGCAGGTCATTCAGTAGGTCCCCCCGTGTGGTTCTGGGATTTTTGCTCACCGTTCTTGTGATCATTTTGACCCCACAGGGTGAGATCTTGCGTGGAGCCCCAGATCGAGGGAGATTATCAGTGGTCTTGTATGTCTTCCATTTCCTAATAATTGCTCCCACAGTTAATTTCTTCAAACCAAGCTGCTTACCTATTGCAGATTCAGTCTTCCCAGCCTGGTGCAGGTCTACAATTTTGTTTCTGGTGTCCTTTGACAGCTCTTTGGTCTTGGCCATAGTGGAGTTTGGAGTGTGACTGTTTGAGGTTGTGGACAGGTATCTTTTATACTGATAGCAAGTTCAAACAGGTGCCATTAATACAGGTAACGAGTGGAGGACAGAGGAGCCTCTTAAAGAAGAAGTTACAGGTCTGTGAGAGCCAGAAATCTTGCTTGTTTGTAGGTGACCAAATACTTATTTTCCACCATAATTTGCAAATAAATTCATTAAAAATCCTACAATGTGATTTTCTGGATTTTTTCCCCTCAATTTGTCTGTCATAGTTGACGTGTACCTATGATGAAAATTACAGGCCTCTCTCATCTTTTTAAGTGGGAGAACTTGCACAATTGGTGGCTGACTAAATACTTTTTTCCCCCACTGTACAGTGTTGTAATGATGTGCAAATAGTTAAAGTACAAAAGGGAAAATAAATAAACATAAATATAGGTTGTTTTTACAATGGTGTTTGTTCTTCACTGGTTGCCCTTTACTTGTGGCAACAGGTCACAAATCTTGCTACTGTGATGCACACTGTGGTATTTCACCCAATAGATATGGGAGTTTATCAACATTGGATTTGTTTTGGAATTCTTTGTGGGTCTGTGTAATCTGAGGGAAATATGTATCTCTGATATGGTCATACATTTGGCAGGAAGTTAGGAAGTGCAGCTCAGTTTCCACCTCATTTTGTGGGCAGTGTGCACATAGCCTGTCTTCTCTTGAGAGCCAGGTCTGCCTTCGGCGGCCTCTCTCAATAGCAAGGCTATGCTCACTGAGTCTGTACATAGTCAAAGATTTCCTTAATTTTGGGTCAGTCACAGTGGTCAGGAATTCTGCCACTGTGTACTCTCTGTTTAGGGCCAAATAGCATTCTATACAATAAATTCTTTCCAATGTGTCAAGTAATTCTCTTTTATTTTCTCATGATTTGGTTGTCTAATTGTATTGCTGTCTTGGAGCTATGTGGGGTCTGTTTGTGTTTGTGAACAGAGCCCCAGGACCAGCTTGCTTAGGGGGCTCTTCTCCAGGTTCATTTCTCTGTAGGTGATGGCTTTGTTATGGAAGGTTTGGGAATTGCTTCCTTTTAGGTGGTTGTAGAATTTAACGGCTCTTTTCTGGATTTTGATAATTAGCGGGTATCGGCCTAATTCTGCTCTGCATGCATTATGTGTTTTACGTTGTACACAGAGGATATTTTAGCAGAATTCTGCATGCAGAGTCTCAATTTGGTGTTTGTCCCATTTTGTGAATTCTTGGTTGGTGAGCGGACCCCAGACCTCACAACCATATAGGGCAATAGATTCTATAACTGATTCAAGTATTTTTAGCCAGATCCTAATTAGTATGTCTAATTTTTTGTTCATTTTGATGGCATAGAAGGCCCTTCTTGCCTTGTCTCTTAGATCATTCACAGCTTTGTGGAAGTTACCTGTGGCGCTGATGTTTAGGCCGAGGTATGTATAGTTTTTTGTGTGCTCTAGGGCAACGCTGTCTAGATGGAATTTGTATTCGTGGTCCAGGCAACTGGAACTTTTTTGGAACACCATTATTTTTGTCTTACTGAGATTTACTGTCAGGGCCCAGGTCTGACAGAATCTGTGCAGAAGATCTAGGCGTTGCTGTAGGCCCTCCTTGGTTGGGGACAGAAGCACCAGATCATCAGCAAACAGTAGACATTTAACTTCAGATTCTGGTAGGGTGAGGCCGGGTGCTGCAGACTGTTCTAGTGCCCTCGCCAATTCGTTTATATATATGTTGAAGAGGGTGGGGCTTAAGCTGCATCCCTGTCTCACCCCCTGGCCCTGTGGAAATAAATGTGTGTGTTTTTTGCCAATTTTAACCGCACAATTGTTGTTTATGTACATGGATTTTATAATGTCGTATAATGCCAAATTGAGTCATAAGCTTTTTAGAAATCAACAAAGCATGAGAAGACTTTGCCTTTGTTTTGTTTTGTTTGTTTGTCAATTAGGGTGTGCAGGGTGAATACGTGGTCTGTTGTATGGTAATTTGGTAAAAAGCTAATTTGACATTTGCTCAGTACATTGTTTTTGCTGAGGAAATGTACGAGTCTGCTGTTAATAATAATGCAGAGGATTTTACCAAGGTTGCTGTTGACGCATATCCCACGGTAGTTATTGGGGTCAAATTTGTCTCCACATTGTGGATTGGGGTGATCAGTCCTTGGTTCCAAATATTGGGGAATATGGCAGAGCTGAGGATGATGTTAAAAAGTTTAAGTATAGCCAATTGGAATTTGTGGTCTGTATATTTTATCATTTCATTTAGGATACCATCAACCCCACAGGCCTTTTTGGGTTGGAGGGTTTGTATTTTGTCCTGTAGTTCTTTCAATGTAATTGGAGAATCCAGTGGGTTCTGGTAGTCTTTAATAGTTGATTCTAAGATTTTTATTTGATCATGTATATGTTTTTGCTGTTTGTTCTTTGTTATAGGGCCAAAAAGATTGGAGAAGTGGTTTATCCATACATCATTTTCTGTGATCTGATAGGGGTGTCAGTGGACTGACTGTGAACGCTCTAAGAGACTGGGTTGAGGTCAGTGATAAAGTAGTCTAGTACTACTGCCAAGACATGAGCTATATGTGTACCTACCGTAGGAGTCCCCTCTTAGCCTACCATTGACTATGTACATATCTCTCTCTCTCCCTCTCCCTCTCTCTCTCTCTCTCTCTCTCTCTCTCTCTCTCTCTCTCTCTCTCTCTCTCTAAAAAAAACCAAAGAGGTCATTTCAGGCCATCTATTAATTTGCTAATAAAGAGATAGTCTCTCTTACCCTTGTTGTCTCTGGCCAGGCTATCTGCTACCTCCCAGTACTCATAGCTGTAGAGGACACTGTTGGTGATGTTGAGGTGGTTTGCTGCCATCTGATGGATGCGCTGGGGAATGCTGATGAGGGAGGAGGGGGAGCTGCTAGTGTGAGAGCCCAGGGTGAGGGCTGAGGGGCTCGGGGAGAGTGATGAGGGAGGTCCCCCTGTGCCCCTGTTGATGAGAAGAACCCAATGATACTTCACTAAGGTCAAATCAACGTAATACTACATTCACAAAAACATTGGAGTGATTGAGGGGGGGGGGGGGGGGGGGGGGGTAAGAGAGACAGAGAGCGAGTCTTTCTTACTTTCCCGAGTCGCTCCAGATTGGGGGAGTAGTAGGCACTTTTGGAGAACTCTGGGACGACAGATAAAACACAGTTACAATCTAACCAATCTAATCTAACACGTCTGCTTTTAATTGCATCACACTAAATCCAGCAGTTAAAATAGCTGCTGGTGAGGTTTGTACCTTAAAGTAGTCCAATAGAGCTTTGGAATACTTCAGGGCATGATCCTTCTTTAGACGAAACATCTGCCAGTACAGGAGAGCAAGGCACCGGAAACTAGGGACCACACACACACACACACACACACACACACACACACACACACACACACACACACACACACACACACACACACACAGAGAGAAATGCCCAGTAAATAAATACATAATCCACATCCTATAGGTGATTATTTTCTAGGTGGGTAATAATAGACAGGAAATGACAGAGAGGAAGTGACATTAGCAATGTGCATGCCCCGCCCACCATGCCCCGCCATTATTCCCCTGTTTTTGTGAGGTGTAAATTCATTTGTCAAATAATTGTCGCTGGACCGATTTATTTCAAAAGAAAAGCAATGCACATTTGTTAGTCATGGAGAGCTCTGGCGCCCAAAACACATACATACTGTTTTATACCCCTTTACACACAAAGGCACCTTGCTCCGCCCACCTTTTAGGAGGCTTTCTTAAACAGTTTCCACCTTTCTCCTTACTCTGGAATGTTTAGCCCCCCCCTCTGTTAGTGGGTTGATAATTCTAACAGTTTACACATTTATACTGTATTTGGGGTGAAATCCTTTAGTCATTATTCTTAAAATACAAATTAATCTAACAACATTCTAACTCTTGCTTGTACAAAAAACATTTCCCTGTCGATGTTATGATTGTGCAAACGTGCATTATGCCGGCTCAAACACAAGCAAGTCCCCTTCAAAATGTAAACAATGACACATAGTGTGGTTTTGTCTGAATCTATTCAACGCCGACACTTTGACGCCCTCTGAAGAACCATCAAACTGGCAAAGCATCAATACAGAACTAAGATCGAATCCTACTTCACCGGCTCTGACGCTTGTCGGATGTGGCAGGGCTTGCAAACTATCACGGATTACAAAGGGAAACCCAGCCACGAGCTGCCCAGTGACAAGAGCCTACCAGACGAGCTAAATGCCTTCTACGCTCGCTTCAAGGCAAGCAACACTGAACCATGCGTGAGAGCACCAGCTGTTCCGGACAACTGTGTGATCACGCTTTCCGTAGCCGATGTGAGTAAGACCTTTCAACAGGTTAACAAGGCTGCAGGGCCAGACGGATTAAAATGATGTGTACTCAGAGCATGCGTTGACCTGCTGGAAAGTGTCTTCACTGACATTTTTAACCTCTCCCTGACACAATCTGTAATACCTACATGTTCAAGCAGACCACCATAGTCGCTGTGCCCAAGAACACCTAGGTAACCTGTCTAAATGACTATCTCCCCGTAGCACTCACATCTGTAGCCATGAAATGCTTTGAAAGGCTGGTCATGGCTCACATCAACACCCTCATCCCAGACACCCTGGACCCACTCCAATTTGCATACCGCCCCAACATATCCACAGATGACGCAATCCTTATTGCTCTCCACACCGCCCTTTCCCACTTGGACAAAAGGTACACCTATGTGAGAATGCTGTTCATTGACTACAGCTCAGCGTTCAACACCATAGTGCCCTCAAAGCTCATCACTAAACTAAGGTCCCTGGGACTGAACACCTCACTCTCCTGACAGGCCGCCCCAGGTAGTGAGGGTAGGCAACAACACATCCGTCACGCTGACCCTCAACACGGGGGCCCCTCAAAATATTTAGCATGGACCCTCAGATCCTCAAAAAGTTATACAGCTGCACCGTTGAGAGCATCTTGACTGGCTGCATCACCGCTTGGTATGGCAACTGCTTGGCAGGCGCTACATCACTGGGGCCGAGCTCCCTGCCATCCAGGACATCTATACCAGGTGGTGTCAGAGGAAGGCCCTAAAAATTGTCAAAGACTACAGCCATAGACTGTTCGCTCTGCTACCGCACGGCAAGCGGTACCGATGCACCAAGTCTGGAACCAACAGTACCCTGAACAGCTTCTAATCCCAAGCCATAAGACTGCTAAATAGTTAGTTAAATAGTTAACCAAATTGCTACCAGTACTATCTGCATGGACCCTTTTTGCACTAGCTTTTGTGACTCATCACATAAGCTTCTTCTACTGTTTATTATCTGTCACTTTATTCCTAGTTACAGTATATGTACATATCTACCTCAATTACCTCGTACCCCTGCAAATCAACTCGGTACTGGTACCCCCTGTATATTGCCAAGTTATCGTTACTCATTGTGTATTTATTATTACTTTTATTATTATGTGTTTTACTTTTCTATTATTTCTCTATTTTCTTTCTCTCTGCATTGTTGGGAAAGTAAGCATTTCACTGTTAGTGTACACCTGTTGTTTAAGAAGCATGTAACAAATAACATTTGATTTGATTTGACAGGGATTAAACTCACAAACAATATTTATATCACAAGAAAGACACGAAAGCGATCGTTGCACAGGTTAGTGTTAATTTTTGTAGAGTTTGAAAAAGTTGAGATTTAATGTTTACAAAGTAGGCCTAACTCAGCCACAATGGAAGCCGCTCCCAAAAATTAACAACCAACAACTATTTCTGCACTTGAAAATTCTAGAGCAGGGCATTTAGGTTAGGTGACTATCCTTTTCTTAAACACAGTCTCCACCTAATGTTGAATATGCAAGAGGATTTGACAAAAACAATCATGAATATGAATGAAAGCCATGGTGAAAGCTGGGAGATTGTGAGGGGTTGGTAGGCCTACCAAAGAAAGATGCCGATTGTATAGAGAGTAGGCCTAATTTTATGCTATTCTTTTTAATTATGGCCATGAGTATATGCAAATTAGTTGGTATTTCCAAAAGTTTACTCCATCAATGTAATAACAAAACACATAAATAGGCCATTTATGGTTAAAAAAAATGTTGGCATGGTTGTTTCAAAGAAGAAAACATTTGATATTTGACATTAAACTGAAATTGCCACGTAAACTGTCTGGATTCCATAGATTTTCTGGATCTCATTAAACAATGGTTCAGTCAATGTTTGATGGGTTTTTAAAATTCAAAAAGCATTGAGTATCTTACTCCATTATGCAGATTTTACATTGATCAGAACTGTATTTTTGACCTTTCATCAATTTGAACGATCGTTGCTAGTGACATACGTACCACAGTACGGCCAACTGTTGGTCTTCCTGTCTGGCCCCTGGGCCAGAGTGGCTCTTCAGCCTCATGGCGTACCTGACAACCACAGAGGATCACTGTTACAGTGTGTGTGTGTGTGTGTGTGTGTTTGTGTGTGAGTCTGTGTGAGTGTTTGTGTGTGTGTGTGTGTGTGTGTGTGTGTGTGTGTCTCACCTGATAAGCTCTACCGTCTCTGCGTACATGGTATAGGGAGACTTGGCCTCCAGTGGACCCTCCTCCATAGCTTTTCCACACTCCATGAAGGAGAGAGCAGCATCCACATAGTTCACTGCCTTCCCCAGCTTATCCACCTGAGACAGAGAGAGACTGGGTAAGTGAGATAGGAGATGAAAGAAGTTGGAAGAGCTCACTAGCCACTTAATCGAGTAAAAGGGTCCTTATCATTTTAGCTAACTTATCTTAAAAATATTACTGATATCTTTGAAACAGTCTTAAAGTGGCAATATGTAATTCTTTGGGCGACCTGACCAAATTCACATAGAAATGTGAGTTATAGATATATCGTTCTACCTGAAAGCAAGTCTAAGTAGCGGTAGATCTGTTCTATGTGCGCTATTTCTATGCTTCCTGGTCTTAAGTTTTGTTTTTGCTTTTGGTTTTGTACACCAGCTTCAAACAGCTGAAAATACAATATTTTTGGTTATGGAAAATATATATTTCACAGCAGTTTAGATGGTACAATGATTCTCTACACTATACTAGCTTATTTTGTCACATAAACTGAAATTAGGGAAACTATCAGAGTTTTAGCAACCAGGAAATGGCGGCGCGATTTCTGCATAGTGCAACTTGAACATTCCTAACTCAGTGTTAGAACAGTCCTTCTGGTCCTAACACAGTCCTGAACCAGTCTCACCATGGCATCTGCACGGTGCTTCATCCTCTTGGCTTCATGCATGTAGTACTCAGCATGATGTGGGCTACAGAGGGATGGAGAGGGGGAGGAAGTCAATAGGAAAGAGCAGACAAATATATTATTATGTGGTAGCTACTGACTGCTTCTGACGGTCTAGGTTGGGCTGTAGAATGTGGTCATTAAGACTGACAGTGGCCTTATTTTTCAGTCAGTCACTCACGGTTCATGGTTGGGTACGGTTCCTCTCTGTCCCCCTGCCCGTCGTAAAGGAGGTCCCCATGATTCACACTTGGGCTGGGGCTGCCCTGACACCCCAACACAACACTCAACCTCCATCTTAGGCTCTGGGTGCTGTGCTTTGATGGGGGGCTTGGTGGGGTCGGGGGTGTCAGAGAGAGGGGACAGGGGGGACATTGGCCTCTTACTGTCCAGATAGTCCTCTAAGAACCTGCTCACACATACAAGCCCCAAAAGACACAGTCAGTACTTTTTAGAGTGTGTATGTATGTATCAGACTGTGTATATACAGTGCATTCGGAAAGTACTCAGACCCCTTGACTTTTTCCACATTTTGTTACGTTACAGCCTTATTCTAAAATTGATTAAATTGTTATTTTCCCCTAATCAGTATACACACAATACCCCATAATGACAAAGCAAAAACAGGTTATTGGACATTTTTACAAATGCATAATAAATCCCCCCCCCCCCGGATATATCACATTTACATAGTGTATTTAGAAAATATTCAGACGCCTTGACTTTTTCCACATTTTGTTATGTTACAGCCTTATTCTAAAATGTATCAATCTACACACAATACCCCATAATGACAAAGGAAAAACTGGTTTGAAGACATTTTTGCAAAAAAACTGACCCTTTACTCAGTACTTTGTTGAAGCACCTTTGTCAGCGATTACAGCCTTGAGTCTTCTTGAGTATGACTCTACAAGCTTGGCACACCTGTATTTGGGGAGTTTCTCCCATTCTTCTCTGCAGATCCTCTCAAGCTCTGTCAAGTTGGATGAGGAGCGTCACTGTGTAACCGGTGTGAAATGGCTAGCTAGTTAGCGGTGCGCGCTAGTAGCGTTTCAATCGGTAACGTCACTCGCTCTGAGACCTTAAAGTAGTTGTTTCTCTTGCTCTGCAAGGGCCGCGGCTTTTGTGGAGGGATGGGTAACGGTGCTTCGAGGGTGACTGTTATTGATGTGTGCAGAGGGTCCCTGGTCAAGCCCAGGTTGGGGCAAGGAGAGGGACGGAAGCAACACTGTTACAACTGCACAGCTATTTTTAGGTCTCTTCAGAGATGTTCGATCAGGTTCAAGTCCGGGCTCTGGCTGGGCCACTCAAGGACATTCAGAGACTCGAAGCCACTCCTGCATTGTCTTGGCTGTGTGCTTAGGGTCATTGTCCTGTTAGAAGGTGAAACTTCGCCCCAGTCTGTGGTCCTGAGCGCTCTGGAGCAGGTTTTCATCAAGAATCTTTCTGTATTTTGCTCCGTTCATCTTTGCCTCAATCCTGGCTAGTCTCCCAGTCCCTGCCACTGAAAAACATCCCACAGCATGATAATGCCACCACCATGCTTCACCGTAGGGATGGTGCCAGGTTTTCTCCAGAAGTGACGCTTGGCATTCAGGCCAAAGAGTTCAATCTTGGTTTCATCAGACCAGATAATCTTGTTTAGGTGCTTTTTGGCAAACTCCAAGCGGGCTGTCATGTGCTTTCTACTGAGGAGCGGCTTCCGTCTGGCCACTCTACCATAAAGGCCTGATTGGTGGAGTGCTGCAGAGATTGTTGTCCTTCTGGAAGGTTCTCCCATCTCCACAGAGGAACTCTGGAGCTCTGTCAGAGTGACCATTGGGTTCTTGGTCACCTCCCTGACCAAGGCCCTTCTACCCCGATTGCTCAGTTTGGCCAGGCGGCCAGCTCTAGGAAGAGTCTTGGTGGTTCCAAACTTCTTCCATTTAATAATGATAGAGGCCACTGTGTTGTTGGGGACCTTCAATGCTGCAGACATTTTTTAGTACCCTTCCCCAGATCTGTGCCTCGACACAATCCTGTCTCGGAGCTCTACGGACAATTCCTTCGACCTCATGGCTTGGTTTTTGCTCTGACATGCACTGACAACTGTGGGGACCTTATATAGATAGATGTGTGCCTTTCAAAATCATGACCAATCAATTGAATTTACCACAGGTGGACTCCAATCAAGTTGTAGAAACATCTCAAGGATGATCAATGGAAACAGGATGCACCTGAGCTCAATTTCGAGTCTCAGAGCAAAGGATCTGAATATTTATGTAAATGTGATATTTCCGGGGGTTTCTTCATTATACATTTGCAAAAATGTATAAAAATTTGTTTTTACTTTGTCATTATGGGGTATTGTGTGTATATTGATGAGGAATATTTTGTTATTTAATCCATTTTAGAATAAGGCTGTAACGTAACAAAATGTGAAAAAAGTCAAGGGGTCTGAATACTTTCAGAATGCACTGTATACTGTAGCCTTTACCTGGATTCACCTGGTTAGTCTATGTCATGGAAAGAGCAGGTGTCCTTAATGTTTTGTATACTCAGTGTATATCTGTGTGTTTGTGTGTGTGTGTGTGTGTGTGTGTGTGTGTGTGTGTGTATTAGAGTGTGTATAAGTGTGTATGAGTGTTTTCTGTATGAGAGGGTATAAGTGTGTATAAGTGTGTATGAGAGTGTGTGTGAGAGTGTGTATGAGAGTGTGTATGAGAGTGTGTATGAGAGTGTGTGTTCCAGTCTCACCAGTTGTGTCTGGTGTCTGAGTGAGGGTCTAGACGTCTTTGAGTTGTAGACTCTGTGTGGGTAGAGGGGTCGTTGGTGTGGGAGTTACTCCTCTTACTCTCTTTGTGGTGCTGGACTCCATTCTCTGACTGGGAGGAAACACATATTATGGTTGAACCACGGACACCAGGCTATTGTAGCTCAGCTGGTAGAGCACGGCGCTTGTAACGCCAAGGTAGTGGGTTCGATCCCCGGGACCACCCATACACAAAAAAAATGTATGCACGCATGACTGTAAGTCGCTTTGGATAAAAGCGTCTGCTAAATGGAATATTAATTAATTAATTAATTAAATTAATTAATTAATATTGTAGTTCTGAAGTAAAAAGGACTTCAGGTCTCAGTAAAGGGTGACATTAGTATTCCATGCTAAACTAGCTACAGTACAGTGGCTTGCGAAAGTATTCACCCCGTGTGGCATTTTTCCTATTTTGTTGCCTTACAACCTGGAATTAAAATGGATTTTTTGTGGGTTTGTATCATTTGATTTACACAACATGCCTACCACTTTGAAGATGCAAAATATTTTTCATTGTGAACAAACAAGAAATAAGACAAAAAAACAGAAAACTTGAGCGTGCATAACTATTCACCCCCCCCCCCCCCACCTTTTGCAGCAATTACAGCTGTCTCTTGGGGTATGTCTCTTGGGGTATGTCTCTATAAGCTTGGCACATCTAGCCACTGGGACTTTTGCCCATTCTTCAAGGCAAAACTGCTCCAGCTCATTCAAGTTGAATGGGTTCCGCTGGTGTACAACAATCTTTAAGTCATACCACAGAATCCCAAATGGATTGAGGTCTGGGCTTTGACTAGGCCAATCCAAGACATTTAAATGTTAAACCACTCGAGTGTTGCTTTAGGAGTATGCTTAGGGTCATTGTCCTGCTGGAAGGTGAACCTCCGTCCCAGTCTCAAATCTCTAGAAGACTGAAACAGGTTTCCCTTGAGAATTTCCCTGTATTTAGCGCCATCCATCATTCCTTCAATTCTGACCAGTTTCCCAGTCCCTGCCGATTAAAAACATCCCCACAGCATGATGCTGCCAGCACCATGCTTCACTGTGGGGATGGTGTTCTCTGAGTGATGAGAGGTGTTGGGTTTGTGCCAGACATAGCGTTTTCCTTGATGGCCCAAAAGCTCAATTTTAGTCTCATCTGACCAGAGTACCTTCTTCCATATGTTTCGGGAGTCTCCCACATGCCTTTTGGCGAACACCAAACGTGTTTGCTTATTTCTTTCTGTAAGCAATGGCATTTTTCTGGCCACTCTTCCGTAAAGCCCAGCTCTGTGGAGTGTACGGCTTAAAGTGGTCCTATGGACAGATACTCCAATCTCCGCTGTGGAGATTGCAGCTCCTTCAGGGTTATCTTTGGTCTCTTTGTTGCCTCTCTGATTAATGCCCTCCTTGCCTGGTCCGTGAGTTTTGGTGGGCGGCCCTCTCTTGGCAGGTTTGTTGTGGTGCCATATTCTTTCCATTTTTTTATATGGATTTAATGGTGCTCCGTGGGATGTTCAAAGTTTCAGATATTTTTTTATAACCCAACCCTGATCTGTACTTCTCCACAACTTTGTCCCTGACCTGTTTGGAGAGCTCCTTGGTCTTCATGATGCCGCTTGCTTGGTGGTGGCCCTTGCTTAGTGGTGTTGCAGACTCTGGGGCCTTTCAGAACAGGTGTATATATTCTGATATCATGTGACAGATCATGTGACACTTAGATTGCACACAGGTGGACTTTATTTAACTAATTATGTGACTTCTGAAGGTAATTGGTTGCACCAGATCTTATTTAGGGGCTTCATAGCAAAGGGGGTGAATACATATGCACAATTTTTCCGTTATTTATTTTTTGAATTTTTTGAAACAAGTAATTTCTTTCATTTCACTTCACCAATTTGGACTATTTTGTGTATGTCCATTACATGAAATCCAAATAAAAATCCATTTAAATTACAGGTTGTAAAGCAACAAAAAGGAAAAATGCCAAGGGGGATGAATACTTTTGCAAGGCACTGTACAACTACAGTGGGGAGAACAAGTATTTGATACACTGCCGATTTTGCAGGTTTTCCTACTTACAAAGCATGTAGAGGTCTGTAATTTTTATCATAGGTACACTTCAACTGTGAGAGACGGAATCTAGAACAAACATCCAGAAAATCACATTGTATGATTTTTAAGTAATTCATTTGCATTTTATTGCATGACATAAGTATTTGATACATCAGAAAAGCAGAACTTAATATTTGGTACAGAAACCTTTGTTTGCAATTACAGAGATCATACGTTTCCTGTAGGTCTTGACCAGGTTTGCACACACTGCAGCAGGGATTTTGGCCCACTCCTCCATACAGACCTTCTCCAGATCCTTCAGGTTTCGGGGCTGTCGCTGGGCAATACAGACTTTCAGCTCCCTGCAAAGATTTTCTATTGGGTTCAGGTCTGGAGACTGGCTAGGGCACTCCAGGACCTTGAGATGCTTCTTACGGAGCCACTCCTTAATTGCCCTGGCTGTGTGTTTCGGGTCGTTGTCATGATGGAAGACCCAGCCACGACCCATCTTCAATGCTCTTACTGAGGGAAGGAGGTTGTTGGCCAAGATATCGCGATACATGGCCCAATCCATCCTCCCCTCAATATGGTGCAGTTGTCCTGTCCCCTTTGCAGAAAAGCATCCCCAAAGAATGATGTTTCCACCTCCATGTTTCACGGTTGGGATGGTGTTCTTGGGGTTGTACTCATCCTTCTTCTTCCTCCAAACACGGCGAGTGGAGTTTAGACCAAAAAGCTCTATTTTTGTCTCATCAGACCACATGACCTTCTCCCATTCCTCCTCTGGATCATCCAGATGGTCATTGGCAAACTTCAGACGGGCCTGGACATGCGCTGGCTTGAGCAGGGGGACCTTGCGTGCGCTGTAGGATTTTAATCCATGACGGCGTAGTGTGTTACTAATGGTTTTCTTTGAGACTGTGGTCCCAGCTCTCTTCAGGTCATTGACCAGGTCCTGCCGTGTAGTTCTGGGCTGATCCCTCACCTTCCTCATGATCATTGATGCCCCATGAGGTGAGATCTTGCATGGAGCCCCAGACCGAGGGTGATTGACTGTCATCTTGAACTTCTTCCATTTTCGAATAATTGCGCCAACAGTTGTTGCCTTCTCACCAAGCTGCTTGCCTATTGTCCTGTAGCCCATCCAAGCCTTGTGCAGGTCTACAATTTTATCCCTGATGTCCTTACACAGCTCTCTGGTCTTGGCTATTGTGGAGAGGTTGGAGTCTGTTTGATTGAGTGTGTGGACAGGTGTCTTTTATACAGGTAACAAGTTCAAACAGGTGCAGTTAATACAGGTAATGAGTGGAGAACAGGAGGGTTCTTAAAGAAAAACTAACAGGTCTGTGAGAGCCGGAATTCTTACTGGTTGGTAGGTGATCAAATACTTATGTCATGCAATAAAATGCAAATTAATTACTTAAAAATCATACAATGTGATTTTCTGGATTTTTGTTTTAGATTCCGTCTCTCACAGTTGAAGTGTACCTATGATAAAAATTACAGACCTCTACATGCTTTGTAAGTAGGAAAACCTGCAAAATCGGCAGTGTATCAAATACTTGTTCTCCCCACTGTATCTTGTTTACGCTGGAGGTTTATAGAGAAAAAAAGAGAAGGAGTATGTGTGTTACCTTGCGTTTCCTCTTGCTGTCTCCTCCCTCTGTCTCGGGGATGCACAGGTGTCTCATGGCCTCTTTCTGCTTGGAAGAGGAGGAGGAAGAGTGTTTGTGAGAGGCTCGGGTGCCTGTCGTAGTATCAGGCACTCTGTCGAGCAGGGAGAGGTCTATCTGCACCACCAAGTTTCTCAGGCCTCGATGGGAGTCTGCGGCCTGCTCACTACGTCCAAACGGGACCAGGGTGTAGAGTTTCTGCTTCCCCTGGATCTCCTGCCCCTGGCCTGGGTTGGATGCGGTGGTGCGCCTGGGGTAGAGCACTCTGGGCCTGCTATCCGCGGGCCTCCCCGGGCCCTGGTATCCTCTTCTGGGGATGGGACGCTGGCTTGATGTGGAGTCGGCCTGGACTTTGGTGACGTTGGGAGTCAGATCGGGCTCCGAGTCCGACACCAAAGAGGAAGATGATGAAGAGGAGGAGGAGTCCGTGGGAGGGACGACAGGAGTGGGGGAGGAGGGCGACGGCAGAGGGGAAGGGTCCTGCTGAGACTGTCTCTCTTCTTCCTCCTCACTCTTCCTCTTTTTATTGGTCCCGTGGCGTTGTGGGTCGATGGGATGGCGACGTCGCTCGCTGTTGGTGTGAGGTCTCTGCTTGGGCTGGACCGCTTGCCATTCGCCTCTCTGCTGCTGCTGTTGCTCCTTCCTCCTCCTCTTGCGCTTCTCCTCTCTCTCTCTCTCCTCCCTCCTCCTTTTTCTCTCCTCTATGTCCTCTTCCTCCTCTTCCTCTGAGCTCTGGACCCAGGGGCGTCTTAGCAACTGCTCCTCCGCCAGTCTTCTCTCTCCCTGTCTCTCCCCCTTTCTTTCCTTCTGTTTCCCCCCCTGCCTCTCTCCTTGTTTTTCTGCCTGTCTCTCTACCTCATTTTCCCCCTTTCCCTCTGTCTGCCTGTCTACCTGCCTCTCTGGTGCATGGGTCTCTCTCTGGTTGTCCACCTCCTGTTTTCTCTCCCTGGATTGGGGCTTCTTCTGTGGAAGCTTTGGGTGGGGAGCAGGGGCCTCCCGGGACTTGACTTTGGGTCTAGGGCTGGGGCTGGATCTAGCGCGAGGCCCAGAACTAGCTTTGGACTTAGGCTGAGAATGTGGCTTGGGGCTTGATTTGGAACAGTGACCAACTCTACTGCTGGTCTCTCTGCTATGGTCTGTGGCGGGTAAGTGCTTGACCCTGGGTGTGGGACTGAGACTGGTACTGAGTCTGGTTGTCAAACTAGGCCCAAACCTGGGCCTGGGGTTGGAGTTGGAATTGTGGCTGTGTCTGCTACTCTCCTTGGGCCTTTGTCCAGAGGTTGATAGGTGTTGGCTTTTTGGGGCTAGAGTGCGGTCGTGTTTCGAGCTAGGCTGAGAATGAAGCTTGGGACTCGAGTTGGGACTAGGCCTGGGTCTGTGTTTGTGCCTGTGGCTCAGCTCAGTGCTCAGAGCAGGGGCTGCCTTGGCTGTAGTCTTGGGAGTGGGAACAGGCTGGCTCTGTGTGGGTTTAGGCCTGGAGTTGTGCTGAAGCGGAGGCTGAGGATATGGACTGTGTCTTGGTTTGCTCTTGGGCTCAGTGCTGGGTACAGGGGCAATCCAGGGCCTGATTTTGGGTCTATGGCTCGGGCTGGTTGTTAGGCTAGGCCGCGTGGGAGGCCTGAGGCTTTCCTGATAAGGACTCCGAACCTGAGGATAGCGGCGGGGGCTAGAATGAGTAAGGCTAGGACTAGGACTCCTAGGGGGGTGCCGGGGAATGGAACTAGGGCTGCAGCTGGCTCTGGGGCTTGGGCAGGGGCTCGGACAGACACTGGGGACCGGGCTAGGGATGGGGCTGTGTCTTGGGCTGGGGCTAGGACTGGGACAGGGGCTGGGGCAGGGGCTGTAACCAGGGCTAGGCCGAGGGCTATGCCTGGGGCTGTAGTTGAAGCGCGGGCTGGGAACAGGGCTCTGGCTGGGGCTGTAGTCCTCTCTGGATCTGGATGGAGATGGGGCTCTGTGGGGGTCTGGGGAGGGTGACCGGTGCTCTGTAGCTCTCTGGGCGTGGTCGTGATTGCTGGGATCCTGGTCGCAGGAGGAGGATTTTTTGGGGACTTTTTTCAGCCACTTATCCAGCTGCCACTGAGTGGTGAAGGAGTGATATGTCTAAGAAAACAGAGTGAGGAAGATGAGAGGATGGAGAGGGATGACAGATTTAAGGAGAGAGGGATGAGTGGAGAAACAGTCAGGTAGGATCAACAAAGGAGAGGGATCATGTGATACATCCATATTGGTACCTTTGATACATCCATATTGGTTCTAAACACTAACTTGCACTATAATTAACTTGCAGAAAGTGCTTGGACTATATTCAATCAAAACAGATAACCTGGTTTTGGGGTTAAGCCAAAAACAACAATTGTCCTGATCAGCGAGAAATTCTATTTATATATATATTCGAATAGCTTTTTCCCGCAAGAATATTGATATGTTGAATGAAGGCCAGTGCAATATTTCTTTTTTATTAAAGTTTCTAAAGTGTGTAGTGAGGAACAGGATGAAAGAAGGATGAGGGGGTTCTGTCTTATGGTCACACTTTTCTGTGAAGAGAGAGAGAGAGACTAAGGGGGAGGGAGGGATAGAGTGATGGAATGAGAGAGAGAGAGACTAAGGGGGAGGGAGGGATAGAGTGATCGAATGAGAGAGAGAGAGACTAAGGGGGAGGGAGGGATAGAGTGATCGAATGAGAGAGAGAGAGAGAGAGAGAGAGAGAGAGAGAGAGAGAGAGAGAGAGAGAGAGAGAGAGAGAGAGAGAGAGAGAGACAGAGAGACAGAGAGACAGAGAGACAGAGAGAGAGAGAGACTAAGGGGAGGGAGGGATAGAGTCATGGAATGAGAGAGAGAGAGACTAAGGGGAAAATAGCAAGTGACAGTGACATGAGTAAACGAAAGATTCCTCGAAAACCAGGACACACATTGGACTATTTTAAAAACACACAACCCATTGAACAAACACTACCAACACACATTACTCACTCCCAGCTTCACTCTTACCACCACAGTCAAAACTCCACTTTTTTAAACTGTTCTACACTGCACATGTAGAGTACATTGAGAAAACACTGTAAAAACTGCCACTCGTTCAACCATAGTCTAAGAAGCTCAAACTTTGAACAGTGCCCTTTAAATTGACTACTTCTTCAACACTCCTTCATTTTTTACTACCACTGGAATCCACACACATCTGCCCTGACAGAGGCTAAAGCCCCCCCTCCCATTTATCAAATGACTCACACAACTGACTCAGTAACCCAGAAAGAGAAGAGAGTTTTAAAAAGAAGAGGATCTACTCACTGCTTTCCTAAGTCTTCTTTTTCGCTCTCCCCATCTAGCTCCCTCTCTCCAGTAGCTGACCAGAGTTATTTAAACCTCTACTCCTCTACTCAAACACTCCCCCCCTCCCTCATTCCCTTTTCCAGAGAAGACACTGCATCTCTTGTACCCTCTCTGCCCCCTCCCTCCCTTCCCTCCCTCCTTCCCTCTACCTGGAATTCTGGAGCACTGTTTCCAACCCTGGCACCCGCAGAATATGCTCGGTTGAAACCCCAGTTAGAATTCGATCATCCATAGATAAGATCTCTCTTCAGCTCAGAGATTGATTGTATTTCAATTGAGGAAGGAAACTCCCAGTATGCTTTGCATGATTTTCAGGAACTAGTTAGTCAATTCTCAGTTTGTTCTGGCTTGGCGCTATTTGACAAGAAGGCAATAGAAATCAGTAAATAAATACTCCCTTCCTTGGGAGACACTGTAACGCTCCATGTAGAGGAAAAACACATGGACCCCCCACCCTCACCACCTCTATTGGGGCCTGATATACTGCATGTTCAGTAATAGACCCAGCTATGGTCAGACACAGACACATAGGGCCTTCTATTCATACAGGCAGTAGAAGCAGGTTTTCCCTACTCAACTCTCTCTGCATAGCTAACCTACACCCCTAACTGCTGTCCCCCTCCTTCGACAATATCCCCCCACCACCAACTCCTCCTCAAATAAATAAAGACCTATTATACCCTGCTGTTTATAAACAGACCACTCTCTCTCTCCCCTCTCTCTCTCTCTCTCTCTCTCTCTCTCTCTCTACTGTGCATTTACATGCTTGTAACTCAGTGCCAATGAAACTGCTAACCCATTCCATTTGAAAGATTCCCTTACCTTTAGTTGAGCTTATTTGAGCGTAAGCTGGCGTAGCATAGAGAATCTGCAGTTGGTTATTAGTGTGGGAGACTGTCATGCTAACTGCTAATGAAATGCTAGCGTGAAACCAAATCTCCGGGACTCCCACCTCCCGTGGGCTTTCCTATTTGGGACTGGGCTTGTTGACATGACACCCAAACTTTAATTCCTACAGCAACTCCACTCTGCCTTCTTCTGCCTGCTTTCCCCCACCCTCCCCCTGCTTACCCCTCCCCCTGCTTCCTCCCCCTGGTCTCACCCCCTCTCCCTCACCCCCTCCCTATGCTAGCTCACGTGCATTCCTAATTCCTCCCTCCCCCTCCCCCTCACCAGATAGATTTCACTTGCTTTGGCAATGTAAACATATGTTTCCCCTGCCAATAAAGCGCTTTGAATGGAATTGAATTGAGAGAGAATCTGAAATGAGAGGAGGCAGAGAGAAAAAGGGGGATGGAGAAAAAAGAGAGTAAAAGGGTATAAGAGGCTAAAGGGTGAGAGAGAAATATCTAAAAAGAGAGAGATTGAGAAATGCCATGAGAGAGAGGTAGCTAAAGAGAGATATGGTATAGAGACAGACAGACAGACAGACAGACAGACAGACAGACAGACAGACAGACAGACAGACAGACAGACAGACAGACAGACAGACAGCAGTGTGACAGACAGTGATCGTGGTGGTATTACCTCCTTGGTGCAGTCAAGGGCCTGAGCATCGGTGGGTGTCCCAGGATCGGAGTGTGTTTCTGGGCTTGAGCTAAGGGAGCACTGGCTACTGCTCTCCTCCTCCAACTCACTGTAGGAGTCTGAGACTGAAGAGTCTGAGCTGGAATGTCTCACCCTCCCACCATGTGTGTGTGTGTGCTGCTCCGACAGACTGTCAATCAACACACACACCAGAGAAGGGTCAGCTTACACACAGATACACAAACACACAGATGCACGAACACACACACACACACACACACACACACACACACACACAAACAATATGTGGGCATTCACACTTGTAGGCCCTCTTCATTTATCACTATCAGTGTGTGTGTGTGTGTGTGTGTGTGTGTATGTGTGTGTGTTTAAGAGTGACCAGGAGAGAGAAACATGGGTTGGTCTATCATCCAGCTGTCACATTTCACACATCCTTACCTTTCATATTACTTCCCCACACACACACACACACACACACACACACACACACACACACACACACACACACACACACACACACACACACACACACACACTGAATGTTCAGTAATAGACCCAGCTATGGTCAGACACAGACACATTGGGCCTTCTATTCCTCTGTAGCTCAGTTGGTAGAGCATAGCGCTTGCAACGCCAGGGTTGTGGGTTCGTTTCCCACGGGGGGCCAGTATGAAAATGTATGCACTCACTAACTGTAAGTTGCTCTGGATAAGAGCGTCTGCTAAATGTAAAAAATTTAAATGTATTCATACAGGCAGTAGTAGCAGGTTTCCCCTACTCAACTCTCTCTGCATAGCTAATGTGGTCCTCTGTAGCTCAGCTGGTAGAGCACGGCGCTTGTAACGCCAAGGTAGTGGGTTCGATCCCCGGGACCACCCATACACAAAAATGTATGCACGCATGACTGTAAGTCGCTTTCGATAAAAGCGTCTGCTAAATGGCATATTATTATTATTATAACCTACACCCCTAACTGCTGTCCCCCTCCTTCGACAATATCCCCCCACCACCAACTCCTCCTCAAATAAAGACCTATTATACACCGCTGTTTATAAACAGACCTCTCTCTCTCTCTCTCTACTGTGCATTTACATGCTTGTAACTCAGTGCCAATGAAAGTGCTAACCCATTCCATTTGAAAGCTTCCCTTACCTTTAGTTTAGCTGGCGTAGCATAGAGAGTCTGCAGCTGGTTATTAGTGTAGGAGACTGTCTGCTAATAGCTAATGAAATGCAACTCCCCCCTCCGCCTTCTTCCGCCTGCCCCCCCCCCCCCCCCC